CACCCCACCCAGCCCCACCCCTCCCACCCCACCCAGCCCCTCCCCACCCTCCCCACCCCACCCAGCCCCACCCCTCCCACCCCACCCAGCCCCTCCCCACCCTCCCCACCCCACCCAGCCCCACCCCTCCCACCCCACCCAGCCCCTCCCCACCCAGCCCCTCCCCACCCAGCCCCTCCCCACCCTCCCCACCCCCACCCAGCCCCACCCCTCCCATTTTTGTATACACGACGGACGGACGGACACAATAATCCCCTGTGGGCTGGTGGTTTAGTAACCAGGAGGTTCCTACCGGTATGAACTCACAAACCCATCCGCTGTGCTCCTCTCTCCTGGCAGCTTCGCTTTGCCTGCATGAAAGGCATCGAAAGCGAGGGGACGCGGGAGGCACAAAACCGCGCCGTCGATCGATGCCCTCACGTTTTAAATCAATTTCACAAACGCGAAACGATGAATAGGTTCGTCACCCCGGGCTCTCCCAATCCACGTAACGGCTGCGCACCTCCCACACTCTCATCCCACGGGCACCCTTCTTCACACGCGTTGTTTTCACGACGAAGGGGCGGTGGTGGCTGTATGGTGGGTCACCGCGTGAATGTTGCTAAAACTCTCATCCCGTAGGCGTCGTCGATGAAGAGGTGCCATATGTATATACAGGGACTCCTCTACTTACGAACGAGTTAGGTTCGAGAGGTCTGTTCCAGTGACGTGCGGTGAGGTCAATGGCTGGGGAGGCACTGGCTAGTGTCAGAGCCAGATTCACACACTGAGGGGGGGGGGGCGTGGCCTCATGGATTGGGGCGTGGCCTCATTGAGGGGGCGTGTCCTCACTGAGGGGGGCGTGTTAGACACGTCCCCCTCAGTGAGGCAGATGTGATAGCTGCCTCCCCTGGTGCTTTTTCATTGCAGTTTCATGACGAGACCAGCGAGCCTAAATATCTTTATACACATACGTGAAATAAGTTACCTGGAGTATGGAAGGTGAGGACATGAAATGAAGGGGTCTACAAACATTACATTGGTGACATACTGAGATAGTAACAGGCACGCGCTTATCGCCTGCGTTCCATCCAGTTACTGAGGGGTTGCACAATCAGAGGGGAGGCTGAGCTCGTCGCTGCCTCACCTCTCGTCTCTTCCAGTATTTGTAGCGGAGCGCCGCAAATTTGGCGGTTTTGACTATAAAAATTTTTGGAATCGTACAGAAATGATATTTATAACACAGATCAGTGGAAAAATTTTAATATTTATTTTATTTGATTATTCTATTTTTTTACTTTTCGTAACAGCTATTTTCATTGGAGTATGACAGGTGAGGCTGTGCCTCCCCTGCCTCCCCTGACCACACGTCCCTGGTCTGTTCCTAAGTCCAATTTTACTACTGTCGATCCCAAACATGTTGTACGCCATGTATATTAAACACGGGGAGTGGCTTTAAAAATTGTATAATCTACTGTGAATGTAGATGGCACTGGTTCTTCATGTTCTGTAGATGCCACTGGTTCTTCACGTTCGGCAGATGTAGATGCCGCTGGTTCTTCACGTTCTGCAGATGTAGATGCCACCACCACCGCCATCTATTGCGCGGTGGTTGAACAGGCAACTGGACATACGGAGGGGTTTGTTCGTATCTCTGAAAGTCCGTAAGTCGAATATTCGTAAGTAGTGGTGTTCCTGTAGTTGTACTCTACTTCCACGCACCTTGCGCCTGTGACTCGCCACAGTCCCCAACCCGCAATGACCGAGCGTAGTCCAATACGGCCAATCAACCCCCCAACAAACCTTGCACAGTGTGGGGAAGCGGCCCTCATCCAGCAGTGGATAGACTGGGTGTCGGCAACCTGCGGCTTCGGAGCCGCGTGCGGTGTGGCTCTTTAAGGCACTTGCTCCGTGACCGTCACTTATTCAGGACCCACCACAGTCTCGTATTCACCACACAGTGCATGGCGGGGGAGGGGGGGGCTCTTGAAATAATGAGGATTTTTTGTTTGTTAACGGAATTCGTCACAAAACACCCGAAGGTGTCAAAATGTAGCAGCAACAGCAGCGGGAGCAGCAGCGGTGAAATCGCGTGTCCTCGAAACTGGGGGGGCTCGGGTAAGGGTGGCGAAAGGGGTGGGAGGGGGGGGTGGCCCGAGAGAGAGGTTGGTGGGTGAAGCCGGGAGGTTGGTAAACAGATGAACGGCAAAAGGCATTCACTGGGGGGCTCCTTTTGCTTGAGAGGGGCGGGGGGGGGCATACACAGCCCACGCGTGATGGCCTCGACTGCTGTATGAAGTTGTTCCCCCTTCACCATCAATAACAACGTCGAAGCCCGTCAGTTTCAGCAGCTTACATCTGCTGCGGTTGTGCGTGTGCTGTCAAAATCAATCTGCCCGTTCGCCTGCCCAGAACCCAACTAACCGACCACAACGGGGCACGGGCGTGCAGCCATTTGCATCGGAATCAAAATGTTTGTTTAGACTTTGTGGGGGGGGGGGCGGGGGTGTGGGGGTGGGGGGAGTAAATCCGATGAGCTGCGAAGCTCGTTTATTGTTCATCTCTCACAGATGTACGATCGGGGCCGGGTTAGCGATTGCGCGGTGCAATAGGTTAACGCGGATCGAACAGCGCTGTGACGAATAGGGCAAAACCGCGACGGATATCGCGGTGGCGGTGATCGGCATCGCTGCAAGTGCAGTCCAGAGGTCGCCCCCTCCCCCACCCCCACCCCGCTTCGATCTTCCGGCACGGCGGCAGTAACAAGAATGGTGAAAGATTCTCAAATCCATCAACCCGAATCAAAACACCCAGCAAGGGCGCGCAAGATGTTAACTACAATCAGCCTCTTTGGTTGAGTCTATCAGCCTGTTTTGGTCTTCAAGTACCGTGTGAGTCGTCAGCTGAAACGTGCGAGATCCATGACCGGCCACGACACTTGGGATCTCATCAGCAGTCACGGTGGCGAGATGTTAACTACCTCGCCTGGTATACAGGAGGTCGTGGCTTCGATCCCGACCCTGAGGCCTGCTGTATATTTGGAGTTTGCGTGTCTCTCTCTCTCCCCGTGGTCGTGTGGATTTTTCTCCGGGTCCTCCGGTTTTCCCCTCCACATTTAGAATAAAAAAATCGCGCCTTTTAGGGTAGTTGGCTGCTGTAAATTCCCACGTGACGATGAGCCACTTCGTTGGGCTATCATTTATTGCCAGGCCGCTTCTGAATAAGAGTCATATATCAATAGACCTCTTTTGCCAGTACCAAAATGTAATAATAGGGTTTTTCCCCTTTTTTCTGGCAACAAAACTGAAACCTTTTTACAAGGATTCATGTCTGGTTAATCATTACTTTGATAGTGCATTGTCTTTGAGCTGTACGCCTTTTGGCGTCATCTGGTCGAGCACCAATTGGGTCGAGGCTCAAAAGAAAGCCGTCCCTTAGTGTGGACCAATCAGTTTAAAGGACAATGCATATATTATCATAGTATGTTTTTTTGTTTGCATTTTGACTGCAGGTATTGTGGTTAATGCAGTAACGTGAATCCTTGTAAAAAGGTTTCAGTTTTGTTGCCAGAAAAAAAGGGGAAAAACCCTATTATTAAGAGTCTCTGACTTGGTAAAATTATTTATTGGTCCAGCACAGTTGAGTGATCGGCAGGGATACATTGTGAGTCCAAACCTTTTCCAAGACGTCTTGGCTTGTATGGAAGAATCGGCCAAATTCCATCTTCAAGGGGCTCTCTCTAGCGGGAGTCTTTCTGCCAGCAGTGAGGTGAGCAGGCAATTGCAGGGCTGCGCTTTTACATTTGCTTTTACCTTTCCAAAGAGCAGATGGATATGTGTCTTGTCATTGTAGCTGGCTTGCCAGGAGAATGCAGGACAGCAAATTGCGGACTAATATAATGTGGTTTTTTTGTGGGATCGAGTGTTGTCCCCTCGCACGCTTCGGTGTGGTTTCCTCCCACGTGTGTACAAACCATCTTCATATATATAGACGACTGCAGATGTTGGGCAATCGCTGGTGGCGCCGGCTGACCGCCTTCCCTGCTGCCGTTCAACCTTTGTGTCTGTGGCTCCTCGGCGATTGTGAGAGCAGAATCATCAGAATATTTATTTATACCGGAGGTATCCGATGAGCTATACAGCTTTCGTCCCCCCCCCCACCCCACATGTCCAGTCGGAGGCATTTTGCACGTACGACAACGGGATATACAGCACCTCCGATTAGCATGGTTGGCCCCGTAACAGTGCGTAAGAAGTTCAACATACGGTAACATAAATGTCGTTGCCCAGCTGACGATTTGTCGTGTGGCGTGCCGGGAAGGGGGGGGGGGAGAGTTTGACAAGAGACGGAGGAGTGAGGCTATTGTCGAGTTTAGAGGAAGACGGAGAGAGATATAAATGGAGTGATGTGGACGGAGATGGAAGCGTTGAGTCGTCTTATTAGAGAAGCTGTGATATTGAAAATAAATGCAGTTAATCAGCCGTTTAGTTATATTTATTAGCAGGTCTTTACACAGGCTTAAGAATATTTATGGGTTTCTGCACGTTTAATTATTTTCACTGATTGCAAGCCTTGGTTGTATTTAAAGTCGTGATTCGTGTACAAGTGCGAATTCACACGTCATTAATTTCAACAAACGTTACTTTCATTCGTAATTTACTAAATTTGACATGCGTGCGCCTGTGCACGTGTGTGTGTGTGCACGTGTGTGTGTGTGTACGTGTGTGTGTGTACGTGTGTGTGTACGTGTGTGTGTGCATGTGTGTGTACGTGTGTGTGTACGTGTGTGTGTGTACGTGTGTGTACGTGTGTGTGTACGTGTGTGTGTGCATGTGTGTGTACGTGTGTGTGTACGTGTGTGTGTGTACGTGTGTGTACGTGTGTGTGTACGTGTGTGTGTGCATGTGTGTGTACGTGTGTGTGTACATGTGTGTGTACTGTGTGTGTGCGTGTGTGCGCGTGCACGTGTGTGTGTGTGTGTGTACGTGTGCTTGTGTGTGTGTGTACGTGTGTGTGTGCAGCGTCATAGACGACGACAGTACCACCAGTGTACAATCACAGCGTCTCGACAAGAAGGTAAGGTTCACATCAGCAACAGTAGCAGCAGCAACGTCATCGCCCGTGATCGATCCACTGCTGGATGCACGCCTCCCAAAGCCATCAACTATCGCGCGGAATCCCGCAAAGCTACGATCCATAATATCGAACACCTTGCACACGAGCTGTTATCATCGCTCCATCTTCAAGCGGTCGTTGGGAATTCCACTGTTTAAAATCAGTCGGGAATCACTTTGGCATCCGGCCACATCCAATTCGTATTCTTGGTTCTTTGGGTAAAGCCCCCTCTGTTCTCTCCGCCTGATGAAGACCGCTTGTGTTGCGATCGAAACGTCGTGGGTTTTTTGCTTTTATTATTTTTAATTTAATTATATTTTATTATATTTTATTTTATATCTTCGTGACTTTACCGAAAGAACGAAGAACATGAACTCCTGCAGTCACGAAAATTTTAAGTCAAATTTTTACACATCCAATTCGCTTTATTTACGAGCTCATCAAACTGTAAGAGGCGTATAGGGTACAAAAAAATATAAATCTTATACTTTATTTAATTTGCAACAACCCCGAACGAGAAATGTGCCCTCCGGGGTTCTGGAGAACACCAGGAGAAGATTCCAGGCACGCGTTGACAACGATGGCGAACAAGTGGAGACTCTTTGACTTTTTGAAGCGATGAACATTACATTTGTTTTCATATTACAGTGTATTATCCGTTCTTCTACATTAAAAACGATAGTCCCATATAAGTGTTAACATTGTTTTGAAGCACCCTGTATTGGTCGCGAAAGTCTACGTGTTAAACTAAAATAATATCTGACCTCCCGTAAATCACGTGGTTTGTGTGGCCACGCCCACTCGGAATCCCTCCCCCTGCGAAAACAGACGCTGCTCCGTGTGGCTCAAATCTCCCTCTCTCGCCTCTCCTCTCACAGTCACCCTCTCATCCATGACATCTTGGCACGGCCATGCTTTCTCACCATGGTGGTGAGATGTTAACTACCTCGCCTGGTATCCAGGATGTCGTGGGTTCGAGTTTGCGTGTCTCTCCGGTTTCTCCCTCCGCATTCGGAAACACGCATTTAGAGTATTTGGCTGATATAAATTACCACGTGATGAGTCACTTCGTTGAGCTATTATTTGTGGCCAGGTCGCTTCTGAAAAAGAGCTCATATATATAGCTCAGTGGGCCTTACCTGGTAAAATAAATTTTAAAAATAATTTATCCCCTCCTGTGCAGCGCTCCTTCTTTCTTCTCCCTGCCGCTCATCTTGAGCCGTGCCCTCTTCGTTCGCATCCTTTCCTTCAACGAAGTGGCGGCTTATCATCATCATCACGTGGAAGATAGAGCCGCCAAATACTCTAAACGCCTGATGTCGATTCTAAATTTGGAGGGGAAAAACCGGAGGACCCGGAGAAAAATCCACGCGATCACAGGAAGAAAGAGAGACACGGCCAACTCCAAATATATGCAGCAGGCGTCGGGGTCGGGATCGAACTCACATTTCAATTCACGTGTGTGTACTGGCCTTCATAGGTGCTGCTCACTAACAGCACTTGCCTCGCAACAGTCTGATGAAGGCTACACCGGGGGATATGTATCTTTGTGTTTGTACCGGCATTCGTGGGTGCTACTCGCTAACAGCACTTAGCCCCATACTCTTTGGTTCTATTGGGTAAAGTCACGTAGGTAAAAAATAACAAAAATCACGACGTTTCGGCCACAACACAAGCGGCCTTCATCAGGTGAAGGGACGAGACTGTCTGGAGGACAGCGCTGGAGTGAAAAAAGCCATGCTCAGATCACGACCTTTAAGCTGTGTGAGAAGAAACAAAGCGCCTTGACAAAGGAATTAGCATATAATTTAGCATTGAAATGGCTGAGTGATTAGCTTGTGACAGTCACAGAAATGGCTATGTTAAAGCATACACATCCGCAAAGGCACCCCTTGACAAAAGGAAGCTAATCACTCAGCCATTTCAATGCTAAATTCTATGCTAATTCCTTTGTCAAGGCGCTTTGTTTCTTCTCACACAGCTTAAAGGTCGTGATCTGAGCGTGGCTTTTTTCACTCCAGCGCTGTCCTCCAGACGGTCTCGTCCCTTCACCTGATGAAGGCCGCTTGTGTTGTGGCCCGAAACGTCGTGATTTTTGTTATTTTATTTTTTGTCACCTACGTGACTTTACCCAATAGAACCAAAGAGTATATGGATCCTTGCAGTCACGAAAGCTTTAAATCTAGAAGCACTTAGCCCCCGCATCAGCCTCATGAAGGCTACACGGGGGGTGGGTGGTGGTGGTGGTGGTTGGTTGGGATCTTCGCCTTGCCCTCGTGTCCCGTGTGCAGCGCGCTCTGCTAGAGCATGCCCAGCGCAGGCGTCGCCACGACATGGTCACAGTGCAATCGACCGCCGACGCAAAGGCACCCGGCGGGAGCCGCGGCGTTGCGAGGGGCGCCCGCAAGCCGCAGCGGGCCGAGGAGCAGGCGCCGCTCGTCGACATCGTGAGCCAGCCGGCCGGTACGGCGGCGATTTGCCCTTCGTTGTCACTTTCAGGATGCACCGGTGGCAAGCCGCGTGCGTGCGTGTATGTATGTGTGTGTATGTGTGTGTGTCAACAACCCCCTACCTCCTCGCGGTGCCGGACGGGCAACTCTGTCGTGGACAGCGCTGTGGGGGGAGATCCAATTTTGATTGGCTCCTCCCCTCATGGCATATGTGTCCACCACAGGGGCTAAACGGGGGCTCTGGACGGGTGCGAGGGGCTGGTAACCCCTCCACCTTCAATTAATTACCACGAAACTGCGAATTAAACTGAAATATGTAACAACTAAGCTTGTGCCGGAGGCCCCGGGGGGCCAGGCGTCTATGACGTCTCCTGGCCAAACCCCAATTGGCGGAGCCAGGAGATTGAATACCTACCCTCGGGGCTATTCCAGAAACAACGAAAAGCCACTACGGTTGGCAACGTGGAATGTTCGAACGCTCACTGCAGAGGAGAGGCTGCCACTCCTCTGTCGGGAGCTGGACCGGTACCGCCTGGATCTATGCGGCATTCAGGAGGTCCGGTGGACCGGCTCTGGCTCCTGCCACCATGAGGGGTGGACAGTCCTCTACTCGGGGCAGCAGACTGCCAAACAACAGGGTGTGGGTCTTCTTTTGAACAAAAGAATGAAGGGGGCGTGGGAGCGTGGCGGTGAGGTGTGGGAAGCTGTAAGCCCCAGGCTACTTTGGGCTCGCCTTCCCATCAACCGGAGGCGAGGAATGGTGGTCGTGGTTACTTATGCCCCCACCGAAGATGAACATCCGTGGAGGGATGCAGGCAAAGCCGATGAGTCAGATGCCTTCTATGACCTCCTGTCACAGGTGCTGGCTAAAGTGGCCCCTCGGGATAGAGTCATCATGTTGGGTGACTTCAATGCCCGAGTTGGTCATGATACTGGCACCTGGTCTGGAGTGATTGGAGGGCATGGGCCAGATCAGCTCAATAACAACGGTAGGAGGCTGCTAGATTTTTGTGCAGCCCATGGGCTTGTAATTACCAACACGCTGTTCCGGCATCGGCGCATCCACACAACATCATGGATGCATGCCGGGTCCAAGCAAGAACATCTGCTGGACTACATAGTGACGGACCAGCGAATGCGAGCCCATGTCCTTGACACCAGGACCTACCGTGGAGCTGATCTGCCCTCTGACCATCGACTAGTCATCTGTAAGATGCGCCTGCCATTCTTCCACTCCGGTGGTGGGTGTACACCCAGGACCCCATTCCAACCTAAAGTGGCCTGGTCTCAGTTATCTGATGAAAGTTGCAAGCGAGAATTTCATCATCGCTTGCGGCTGGGATTGGCATCGTCCCCGACTCCTCCTGATGTCGAGGGTAAATGGGCGAGGTTTAGGACTGTGACTCATGCAGCTGCAATGGCTGCTTTGGGTACGCGGTCCAGACCTCCCCAGACACCCTGGATGACAGAGGAGTTGTTCACGATGGTTGAGAAAAAGCGACAGGCCCACTGTCATCGGCTACAGAATCCCACGTCAGAGAATGAGGAGGCTTACCGCAGCCTTCGCTCGGAGGTTCGGAGAGCCGTGAGGCGCTGCAAGGATGGGTGGTGGTCGCGGGTTGCTGAGGAGATGGAGTCTGCCTCAGTGGCCCGTGATCACAAATCTCTATTTAACTCCATCAAAAAAGTAACCTGCAGCGCCACACCTATTACCATCATTAGGGGAAAAAAACGGTGATCCAATTTCCGACCCCCAGGAACAGGTTCGCAGATTTGCTGAGCATTTCTGTGAGGTCCTGGGGGAGGGAAAATCCCTCAGCCAGGAAAACATCGTGGCACAAAGCGAGGATGACCCTGCTGAGGCTGCGGTGCCTCAAATATTGGATGAAGTCACGCCCTGTGAGTGGCTGGCTGAGGTGCCATCTGCTGAGGAAGTATTGAAGGCGATCCGGAGTCTGAGACCAGGAAAGGCAGCGGGCAGAGATGATCTCCCAAGCGAAATGCTGAGGGAGGGTGGCGTTTGTGCACAGACTGCCCTATATGACATCATAACAACAGTCTGGACCACTGGACGGGTTCCGCAGGATTGGAAGGATGCCCTGGTGGTCCCCCTTTTTAAGAAGGGGGACCGCACAGACTGTAACAACTACAGGGGCATCTCACTCCTCAGTGTGCCGGGAAAGGTCCTGGCAAGGATTATTCAGCATCGCCTTGCCAGGCACGCTGAGGAGAGGCTTGCGGAGCCCCAATGTGGTTTCAGGAAAGGGCGGTCCTGCACAGATGCCATATTTTCTGTCCGTCTGCTACAGCAGAGGTGTAGGGAATTCCAACAAGACCTACATCTCTGCTTTATTGACCTGGTCAAGGCCTATGATACCATCAGTAGGCCTGGGCTCTGGGTCGTTCTTCGTGCTTTTGGAGTACCTGACCCTCTGCTCACGATCATTAAGGACCTTCATGATGGTGAGCGGGCCCGGGTAAAACTACGTGGCCGGGAGTCAGAGCCATTCCCTGTACACCTTGGGGTGCGACAGGGATGTCCTCTGGCTCCCACATTATTTAACATCTATTTTGACCACGTAGTTCGTGAAGCCTTCAATAGCTGTACCGGGGGAATCTCCATATGGTACAGATATAATGGGAGGCTAATCGATGCCCGGGTGCGGTCAAGGGATGGCTCCCTATTGCTCAACCACGTTATGTATGCTGATGACTTGGTAATAGCTGCTCAGTCAGAGGAGGAGTTGGAGACGCTGCTGCTGAGACTGGAGCGTGCCACTAAGAGGTGGGGCCTTACCATCAGCCCCACCAAAACTAAGCACCTGCCTGGGTATTTTGTACCATCGGACACTCCACCCCCACAACTCCCAATCGGTGATGGGGCAGTTGTGGAGAGAGTGGAGAGTTTCCCATACCTGGGCAGTGTGCTTATGACTGGCTCCAGTTTAACAGCAGAGGTCTCACTCCGAATCAGTCGAGCGGCAATATCTTTTCATCGGTTGCGTAACGCTGTGTGGAAGCTACCTGGTCTGTCGCTCCGCACTAAGCTTCAGGTCTTCTCGGCCACGGTCATTCCCTCCCTTCTCTACGCTTGCGAAACGTGGACCCCCCTAATGGAACATCTTCGCCGGTTAGAAACATTTAGGCTGGCCTGCCTACGATCCATCCTGGGTTTAACCAGACTGGATTGTGTGAGGAGCTCACAAATCCTTGAAAGATCTGGGCAGGGTCCCATCGGTGAGCTCCTCCGGCAGGCAAGGCTGCGATGGCTGGGTCATGTAGCCCGCATGCCCAGCCACCGCATGCCGAAACAGCTTTTGTTTGGCCGGATTGAGGGGGCTAAGCGGGCGCGGCACGGGCTAGAGAAGAGATGGAGTGATGTGGTACAGGAGGACGTGGAGCTGAGTGGACTTGCCGATGACTGGTACCAGCGGTGTCAAGATCGGCCTCTGTGGAAGAGGCTCGTGAAGGATGCTACTGGGCAGTTGGAGGCAGTCGCCCTCCAACAACAACGGAGGGCGGAGGAGCGACGCTCACAACAGCGAGCGGAGCGCCGGGTGGCTAAAGCACAGCAGGTTGGCACAGTAGGGGGCACAGGTGGTGCATCAGCCAGTCATCTCAGTCAGTCGACCCGTGGCACCTGGGTCTGCCCCGTGACCTCCTGCCAGCGGGCGTTCGACACTTCACGTGGCCTCAGGGTGCACATAGCCTGGCACAAGCGTCGTGGTGACGTCACCGCCACTTAGTGGCGAATGGCGGTTGTTGTTGTTGTTGTTGTCTGTGTGTGTCTGTGTGTGTGTCTGTGTGTGTCTGTGTGTGTGTCTGTTTGTGTGTGTATGTGCGTGTGTCTGTGTGTGTGTGTCTGTGTGTGTGTATGTGCGTGTGTCTGTGTGTGTGTGTCTGTGTGTGTGTATGTGCGTGTGTCTGTGCGTGTGTGTCTGTGTGTGTGTCTGTGTGTGTGTGTCTGTGTGTGTTTGTATGTGCGTGTGTCTGTGTGTGTGTCTGTGTGTGCGTGTATGTGCGTGTGTGTGTCTATGTGTGTGTCTGTGTGTGTATGTATGTGTGTGTATGTGTGTATCTGTGTGTGTGTGTCTGTGTGCGTGTCTGTTTGTGCGTGTATGTGCGTGTGTGTGTCTATGTGTGTGTCTGTGTGTGTATGTATGTGTGTGTATGTGTGTATCTGTGTGTGTGTCTGTGTGCGTGTCTGTTTGTGTGTGTATGTGCGTGTGTCTGTGTGTGTGTGTCTGTGTGTGTATGTGCGTGTGTCTGTGCGTGTGTATGTGTGTGTATGTATGTGCGTGTGTGTCTGTCTGTGTGTGTGTCTGTGTGTGTATGTGTGTGGTGGGGAGCGATAGTGTAGCGGTTAGCGCGCTGCGCTATGAACCTGGCGACCCGGGTTCGATTCAGCCTCAAATGAGTTCCTGGTGCGGTGTGTAAACATCGCCACGAGGGAGACAAAGGCGGCCGGGCGTGGTGCTGGCCACCCACCCCCTCGTGTACCGTTCCGGCCTTCATAGCTGCTGCTCGCTAACAGCACTTGCCCAATACAGTCTGTTAAGGCTATACGGGGGATCTTTGTTTTGTGTGCAGGGACTCCTCTACTTACGAACGAGTTATGTTCCTAGAGGTCTGTTCGTAAGTCGATTTGTTCGTAGGTCCCAGCTTTACTCCTGTCGATTTCACACGTGCTGTACGGCGTGTGCACTAAACGCGCAAGCCACAGCAGTGTGATTGTGGCCATGGAACCCGAACTATGGACCCGTGTATAGCGGACCCACTATAGCCTGCTCTCCTTCAACGGAGGAGGAGGAGGAGAAATAGCCAATCCACACGAACTCTCTCTCTCTCTCTCTTTTATGTATGTTGAACTTCTTTCGCACCGTACATAGCCAACCGTGCTACGACATGAAGGGGGGTGGAGAGAAGGGGGGTAGGGGGACAACTGCTGTGCATCACGTGATGCCGACAACACAGGTGTAATAAAGATGTGTGCGGAGGAAGTGCGCTTCAGTCCATCGATGGCATCCACATTAGAACCCCTCTTGGCGACGGTCATTGGTTCCACGAAACCGGTCGTTAAGCGATTTGGTCGTTAAGCGACTTTAGGAGACTAGCTTTCTTTGCCCGTCCAAGGACGGGTGTACACTGCAGTAAATCCACCCACTCATGAATATTAATGAGCGGGGGGTGGGCCTCATGTAGAGTGACGTCACGCGGGGGGGTGGGCCAATGTGGGGGTACGTCACGCGCAGGACGGACAGACATTTCTGGGTGATTGGGTAATACACGTTAAAGGCTTCATTCGTTCCGATAGCATCGAAAGTTACCCCTATTACACCCAAAAAAGTACTTTATGATATTTAAACAATGGATATTAATACATAAAGATACTAACAACATTATAAATACATAATATTAAAAGAAACATGGTTAATCAAAGCGTTAGTTAATATTTACCGTACCTACAACAGCCCATTGTTAACAGGGGAATGGTCAGTAAGCGAACACATTGGGCTCTATGGTAGCACTACACTTCTATACACTACACTATACACTACACTATACTACTATACACTACACTATACACTACTATACACTACACTACTATAACTACACTATACACTACTATACACTACACCATACTACTATACACTACACTATACACTACACTATACTACTATACACTACACTATACACTACTATACACTACACTACTATAACTACACTATACACTACTATACACTACACTACTATACACTACACTACTATACACTACTATACACTACACTACTATACACTACATTATACACTACACTACTATACACTACACTATACACTACACTACTATAACTACACTATACACTATGCACTACACTACTATACACTACACTACTATAACTACACTATACACAACACTAATATACACTACACTACTATACACTACACTATACACTACACTACCATACACTACACTACTATACACTATACACTACACTACTATACACTACTAAACACTACACTACTATACACACACTTTACACTACGCTATACACTACACTATTATACACTACACTACTATATACTACACTATACACTACTATACACTACACTACTATACACTACACTACTATACACTACACTACTATACACGACACTACTATACACTACACTATACACTACGCTATACACTACACTATTATACACTACACTACTATATACTACACTATACACTACTATACACTACACTACTATACACTACACTACTATACACTATACTAGTATACACGACACTATACACTACACTATACACTACACACTATACACTACACTACTATACACTACACTACTATACACTACACTATACACTACACTATTATACACTATACACTACACTATACACTACACTATACACTACACTATACACTACTATACACTACTATACACTACACTACTATACACTACACTACTATACACGACACTACTATACACTACACTACTATACACTATACACTACACTACTATACACTACACTATACACTACACTACTATACACTACACTATACACTACACTACTATACACTACACTACTATACACGACACTACTATACACTACACTACTATACACGACACTACTATACACTACACTATACACTACTATACACTACACTATACACTACACTACTATACACGACACTACTATACACTACACTACTATACACTACACTATACACTACTATACACTACACTACTATACACTACACTATACACTACACTACTATACACGACACTACTATACACTACACTACTATACACTACACTATACACTACTATACACTACACTACTATACACTACTATACACTACACTATACACTACACTACTATACACTACACTATACACTACACTACTATACACTACACTACTATACACGACACTACTATACACTACACTACTATACACGACACTACTATACACTACACTATACACTACTATACACTACACTATACACTACACTACTATACACGACACTACTATACACTACACTACTATACACTACACTATACACTACTATACACTACACTACTATACACTACACTATACACTACACTACTATACACGACACTACTATACACTACACTACTATACACTACACTATACACTACTATACACTACACTACTATACACTACTATACACTACACTATACACTACTATACACTACACTACTATACACTACTATACACTACACTATACACTACACTACTATACACTACACTATACACTACACTACTATACACTACACTACTATACACGACACTACTATACACTACACTACTATACACGACACTACTATACACTACACTATACACTACTATACACTACACTATACACTACACTACTATACACGACACTACTATACACTACACTACTATACACTACACTATACACTACTATACACTACACTACTATACACTACACTATACACTACACTACTATACACGACACTACTATACACTACACTACTATACACTACACTATACACTACTATACACTACACTACTATACACTACTATACACTACACTATACACTACTATACACTACACTACTATACACTACTATACACTACACTATACACTACTATACACTACACTACTATACACTACTATACACTACACTATACACTACTATACACTACACTACTATACACTACTATACACTACACTATACACTACTATACACTACACTATACACTACTATACACTACACTATACACTACACTACTATACACGACACTACTATACACTACACTACTATACACTACACTATACACTACTATACACTACACTACTATACACTACACTATACACTACACTACTATACACGACACTACTATACACTACACTACTATACACTACACTATACACTACTATACACTACACTACTATACACTACTATACACTACACTATACACTACTATACACTACACTACTATACACTACTATACACTACACTATACACTACTATACACTACACTACTATACACTACTATACACTACACTATACACTACTATACACTACACTACTATACACTACTATACACTACACTATACACTACTATACACTACACTATCCACAACACATTTGGCTCTATGGAGGCCCCGTCGTTAAGCGACTTGGTCGTTAACAGGGGTGGTCGTCAAGAGGGCTTCTAATGTATTGGCGTACGAATGCCTCCCACACGTGACCGCTCCCAGCACTCCTCTCGTCTCCGTTAAACTCACTCCGTCTCTTCAACACAGAGAGGGGGTTGGGGGGCACGTGGTCATCGACAGATACGCATGGCAACCGTGGAGCGCGCCACGGCCTTTTGCTGCGCTGTTGTGCTTCTGGCGTCATGACACCGGTGACAGGGAAGCCCGCGCCTATCGAAGCACCGCGGTCTCGGATTATCGATAGAATGTCTCAACTCCACAACTTGACGGCTGTGATCAAGGTCCTTGAGAGCGCCATACTCAGCCACTGTCAGAAGTAGCAGCATCACGGTGGGGGGAGGCAGTGGTCGCTACACTGATGCAGATCGCGTGCAGATCCCGTGTTAGGACCCAGATCCCCATCCGTCCGAAAACCGTCAATGCACGTGTTCCCTCATTATTCGCGAACTTGCTCTCCGCGGTTTTGGCTATCCGCGAATCGCATCCGTAACTCTACACGACCACTGCATCGAGAGGAAGAGAGAGGAGAGAGACAAGGAGAGTGATGAGACGTAAAGTTACGAGAGAGAGAGAGAATGCGATGAGATAAAGCGATGAGAGAGGATGTGATGAGGTCAGTGCTGAGAGATAAAGTAATGAGATAAAGTGATGCGAGATAGAGCTTATTTACGTTTTTATTTAAGGTAATTCATGAAAAAGATGGGTTTTCGGAGTAAAATATGATTAACCGCGAAATTTGCTCTTCACGAGCATCTCCGGAACGTGTCCCTCGTCGCGAATAATGAGGGAAATCGCAGAACTCTGCCCCCTTTCTTGGTGACTGAGACATTGGCAGATTACAACGGCGGCGATCTGATGAGAATGAGATTCCTCCAGATGAGACCCGATTTCCTTGTGGAGGGTCAAGACTAAGCTCTGAATGCAAGAGCAGAGAGAGAGAGAGAGTCCGTCTCGCCGAGTACTACCTTAACCTTTATTGCAGCCTTGCACCCCTTTGGTTATCAATCGTAAAGAAAATGAATAACGTTGATAAATACATCGGGGTTAACTTACTTGCCCCGCGCTTGATTTCTGTTTTCCATGATTTACCTTGAAAATAAATGTGGCCATGTCTCGCACCCCGCAGAAAGGGCATCTCGCGCTCCCAATGTTAATAAGAACCACTGTTTATAGCTGAATCTCACCACAGCGTCTGCGAACACGTGGACCCGTATTAAAAACATCGCAATGCTCGTGCCGATGAGAGGATTTGCACGCGCGCGAGCGTGTAGCGATAGCGCGGTGGTTAGCGCGCTGCGATACGTGCCCGACAACCCGAGTTCGAATCCCGCTCACGACTAACGCCAGAGACGATTATAATTATCCGACCCACTTATGGGCCTCTCCTCGGTTCGACCCAGCCTCAAATGAGTGCCTGGTGCAGTGGTTGTAAACATCGCCACTACAGAGGGAGACAAAAGCGGCTGGGCGTGGTGCTGGCCGCCCATTACCCTCTCGTGTGCCCGTGCGGGCCTTCGTCATAGGTGCCACTCGCTAGCACGGCACTTGCCCCCCCCCCCCCAAAATGAAAAAATCTGTCGAGGCTACACGGGGGATCTTTTGTCTGTGCGGGGAGGGTAGCAGGAGGCATCCCCCCCTGTGGAGAGGAGGCGGCGGCGCCACTGACCAGCCGCGTGCAGGTGCTGACCTTGCGGGAGTGCCCGGCGCTGGGATCGGTCCTGGAGCCCGGCTCACAGAGCGACGTGCGCTCCCCTCATCACAACCCGGAGCTGCGAGACGCCCTCGCACATCGCGGTGCGGTTGGCTGAAGAAATCCGGGCACCCCCCCTCCCCACACCTCCCACACCCCCCCCCCCCCACACCTCGCCCACCTCGCCCATCACCTTCCGTAGCGGCTTAGCTATCAAGTGTGCAGGCGGTGCAACCTGCACCGGGAATACCGAGTAGGCTAGGGCAGGGGTCGGCAACCGAAACAGCAAGAAGAGTATTTTTTTATATATATTCGGTCAAACCCACCACCCCCCCCCACAATATTTCAAGAGCCGCGATTTACTGTGGTGGTGAATACGAGATGACGCTGGCCCTTAATAAATGCCGTCGTGAAACAGTCCTGAATGAGCCACGTGCGGCTCACGGTGAACTGGACTCCCACGGTAAACTGGACTCCCATGATGAACTGGACTCCCACGGTGAACTGGACTCCCACGGTAAACTGGACTTCCATGGTGAACTGGCCTCCCACGGTAAACTGGACTCCCACGGTAAACTGGACTTCCATGGTGAACTGGACTCCCAAGGTAAAATGGACTCCCATGGTAAACTGGACTCCCACGGTAAACTGGACTCCCATGGTAAACTGGACTCCCAAGGTAAAATGGACTCCCACGGTGAACTGGACTCCCACAGTAAAATGGACTCCCATGGTAAACTGGACTCCCATGGTAAACTGTACTCCCACGGTAAACTGGACTTTCATGGTGAACTGGACTCCCATGGTAAACTGGACTCCCACGGTGAACTGGACTCTCACGGTAAACTGGACTCCCACGGTAAACTGGACTCCCATGGTAAACTGGGCTTCTATGGTGAACTGGACTCCCAAGGTAAAATGGACTCCCAAGGTAAACTGGACTCCCACGGTCCCACGGTGAACTGGACTCCCACGGTAAACTGGACTTCTATGGTGAACTGGACTTCCATGGTGAACTGGACTCCCAAGGTAAAATGGACTCCCATGGTGAACTGGACTCCCACGCTAAACTGGACTTCCATGGTAAACTGGACTCCCATGGTAAACTGGACTCCCATGGTAAACTGGACTCCCATGGTAAACTGGACTTCCATGGTAAACTGGACTCCCACGGTAAACTGGACTCCCACGGTGAACTGGGCTCCCATGGTAAACTGGACTCCCACGTTAAACTGGACTTCCACGGTAAACTGGACTTCCATGGTGAACTGGACTCCCACAGTAAACTGGACTCCCACGGTAAACTGGACTTCCATGGTCAGGGGTCGGCAACCAAAACAACAAGAGGAGACATTTTTCGTTCGAATTTCCAGAGCCCCGCTGCACCTCCTCAAAGAGCCACCGAACGCGGCTCCGCAGCTGCAGGTTGCCGACCCCCTGGGCTAGGGGTTGGAGGAATTGGACAGGTGGCTCCAATTTTATTCCTTGCGCCAGCCCAGTAATTGTGGAACGTTGGGCCAACTTGAGGGCAATGTTTCCCACCGTATGCCAACGTTGCCATGTTTTGCGTGGGATGGCCTGGGTTCCGCCACTGACCTGTCACACAACAATCCAATCAGTTGTCACGGTTCGGGCCGTGATTTCATTTGGAGGTTTCGATCCTTATTGAGGTTCCGATCCTTACGCATCAATTTTTTTCCCGTGCCCTCTCATTAAGTAACCCGCTCTTGTGTGGCCGATTCGACTGCAGGTCTTGCACAAAGATGGGCGCATGTCCAACACCCCATAGGCCGAGGGATTAAAAACGATGATATTATTTTGGAAACATGGCAGTTAATGTTTAAACTTTATCATGACCGACATTGCTTGGGGAGGCCGTTGTGCAGCCGTGGATGGGCGCAAGGGGTGTCAATAGTTTCGTTATAATAATAAATAAGAAGAATATAACAATTGTTCTCGATTGACATTTACACCAAAAGCAAAGATTGTTTAATCAGGACAGCCACACGTCAGCGTTCACCCGATTCTCTGGGATGAATGGTGGTGGTGGTGAATCTTTGACCCGCCTGGCACAAGCCGCCGTGGTGACATCACCGAATGGCGGCTGTTTGTTTGTTGTTGTCGTTGTTGTCGTCGAACCTTTGACCGCGCACGCTTGCACGTGCACGGCGAGCAGGCCTGACGGGGAGCATGAGTTTCGAGGAGGGCCAGGAGGGCTTCGAGGAGGGCAGCGCCGACGATCCGGCCGAGAGTCTCCTCGCCCTGCCGACGTCGTCCCACGCGCACGGAGGGGTCGCGCGCGACGGCAAGGCGCGTTGCTGGCGGTAACCGTGCGGCCACACGTGGCCACCGCCCCCGGTCGCCGCGTTAGCTGAAGGGATCCCCCCCCCCCTTTTCCCAGCCCGCGCCACCACCGCCCCCCCCCCCCACCCTGATGATAACGCGCCAACAAACGGTGATCGCAATTGACGTGAACGAAAAGAAGTAAATTCAGATACAGGTAATTTTTTCTGGGTTAGATCGCGTAAATATAAAAATGTGTCGTTAAACTCCGCCACCACCCGACACAGCCAACTAGTAAGGGTTGTCACATAAATGTAACGTGCCAATTCGTTACTAGTACAGCACACCGATGTGTTGGAGAGCAAAGCCACAACATTTACAATTGTGGCTGTACTCGTAACGAATTGGCATGTTCTGTTCACGTGACAATCCTTACTAACTGGCTGTGTCGGGTGGTGGTGGGTTGAATGACAAAAATATATTTATGCAATCTAACCCAAAAAAACTGTATTATGGATGATATTGGTCGTGAAAGCCTACTACGTGATAAACTAAGTCAATTAATGTAAAAGTCTGAGGTGATTTGATGCTCAAATGAGTTTCTACAGCCGATAGTCCAGTCAGGGCGTGGGGTCAGAACGTTACAACAATAAACGGTACAAAAGAAGAACATGATAGGAGTGCAAAGTGTAGGAAAGGTAAACAAATTACTGTAAAATATATACAAGTAAAACCAAACTATTGTTTTTCTTACCAGGTCAAGGCCCACTGAGCTTTTAGCTTCTTTTTCAGAAGTGACCTGGCCACAAATGATAGCTCAACAAAGCGGCTTACTATCACGTGGAAATTTATAGCAGCCAAACTACTCTTGGGGTGAGGGGGTAGGTGGAGGTGAGGAGGGGGGCCCAGGATGTGTGTATGAATGTTGTTGAACTTTTTTTGCATCGTACTTAGCCAACCGTACTAATCGGAGGTGCGAGGGAAGGACAACAAACTAAACACAAAAAGCAGTTCTCAAGAAAGAGTATTCAATCTATATTCTTTGGGTCTTTCGGTAAAGTCACGTAGATAGGTTCAAAGAAAATAACAAAATAACTCTTTGTTTAACAAAGTTCCTGTGCCTGACACCATTGCAATCATTAAAGATTTGGTCCAACAAGGACTGAATGCTGATTTACTGGCCCTGGTGATACACTGCCTCACCAACACTTACTTCACCTGAAATGGAACATTCTACAAATAAGTTGAAGGTACCTCAATGGGTTCTCCCTTATCTCCAGTTGTAGCCAATGTTTTCACGGAAAATTTTGAGACAGATGCCATCCAGGCATCCACTCTACGTCCGTCCTTGTGGAAGAGGTACGTAGATGACACGTTCATCATCTGGCCACATGGCCGACCAGCTCTGAACCAATTCTTGAACCACATCATTTACATACACCCAGCCATCAAATTCACCATGGAGGTGGAAAAGGATGGCAAGCTACCATTCTTGGATGTTTTAATCGAAAAGAGACCAGATGGCTCAATGGGACACTCTGTCTACAGGAAAGCCACCCATACGGATGCCTTCCCTAAAACCTGACTCCCACCACCATTCATCCCAGAAGAATTCCCTCATCAAAGCTCTACACCATGGAGTGCGATATATTTTTGACCATCATCACGTAGCCAGTGAACTGGAACACGTACACCAAGCTCTCAAGATGAATGGATATTCAGACTACACAATCCGTAAAGCTATCACCCCAACCAGTGAGAAAGAACCATCTGAGGACCCAATCAAAACCATCACCTTGCCATACATAGCCGGGGTCACCAAAAAGATTTCCAAAATAATGAACAAACACAAGATCCAGGTTCGATTTAACACAGTACATAAAATTCGTGATCTGATCCCATCTGTAAAGGATGTGATCCCTGACATGCAATACCCCGGCGTCTCCAAACTAAGCTGTGTTTGCGGCAGTAGTTACATTGGGGAAACTAAGCGACATGTCTCGGACCGTGTTCGTGAACATGAGGCAGATCTGAAACACGGAAGGACCATTACCTCGGCCGTGGCTGATCATTGTTTGAATGCGGTGGGCTCACACGAAATAGATTTCTCTAAGACAAAGGCACTTTGCAAACCCACTGGCTATCAACAAAGATTCGTTCATGAAGCCATCCATATATATAGACACAAACACAATTTCAACCGAGAAGATGGGTACAAACTGAGTAATCATTTGAAGGACGTTATTAACCAGTTTTAAGTCATAACTGGCTGTGATGTTCCCAGCCTACCACCTTCCGATGTTAGTTGTTATTTTCGGCTCTCTGATTTTTTTACATTAACAGATTAAATTTCTCACTAACACAGCTACCTCGCGCGCCATCTTCGAGGCTGCTGCTTCACGATCTTCCATTAACATGCTAATCTCTCACATTAACATACTGTAGCCACCTTGGCGCACTCGCCGTGAAGGACGCTCGGCGATCTTGCATTGACATGCTAATTTTTGCCTGCAGCCCTTTGATTGGTGGAAAGCCCACCACCGCTGCGGTCGCGGCCCACCACTTGCATTAGCATTAGCTGCTGACATTTGGGCTACGCCCATTTCAAACCTTTATAAGCAGTTGTCTTTATAAGCTAACCCCCGACCGCTTGTGTTGTGTTGCGATTGAAACGTCGTAGTTTTTTGTTATTATCTTTGAACCTATCTACGTGACTTTACCGAAAGACCCAAAGAATATGAATTCCTGCAGTCACAAAAGCTTTAAGTCAAGATTTATTATTCAATCCACATGATTTAAAAATGAATAGCTCCAGTGACTTCCTAATATCAGAAGGAAGAGCGTTCCAGACGGCTGCAGAAATGCATCTGAAAGCGTGCGATGCGGTGACAGTCTTAAACTAAAACTACATCTTTTTTTTACCAGATAATGCACCACTGAGCTACATAGCTCTTTTTCAGAAGCAACCTGGCCACAAATGATAGCTCAACGAAGTGGCTTACTATCACGTGCAAATTTAAAGCAGCCAAATGCTCTAAACACGTGACGTTGATTCTAAACGTGAAGGGAAAAAAAAACCAGAGGACCCGGAGAAAAAATATCCACGTTCCTATGGTGGGAGCGAAGGTTTCCATAGAAGCAAAAACCGTTGCCTTGACCAAAACGTGGCAACTATTTTATCGACCACGAAAAGAACATAGATAAGCTGAGTCAACTCAGCACCAGGTTTGAACTCACACCCTCCCGACTGCGAGCTCTTGTTTTGTCTTACCACTGGGCAACCTGGACGGAGCTTTGTACACTATCAAATATTCGGGTTTAAATGTTTGGTTAAACCAGGTAGAGAACTGTACGTGCATGAAAGAGACGCACTTTGTACGAGTGGCTACGCACGGTGCGAAAGAAGTTAAACACAACAACCGCCATTCGCCACTAAGTGGCGGTGATGTCACCACGACGCTTGTGCCAGGCTATGGGCACCTTGAGGTCATGTGAAGTGTCGAACGCACACTGGCAGGAGGTCACGGGGCAGACCCACCAGATGCCACGGGTCAACTGACTAAGATGAGTGGCTGATGCACCACCTGTGCCCCCTACTGTGCCAACTTGCTGTGCTTTAGCCACCCGGCGCTCCGCTCGTTGTTGTGAGTGTCGCTCCTCTGCCCTCCGTTGTTGGAGGGCGACTGCCTCCAACTGCCCAGTAGCGTCCTTCACGAGCCTCCTCCACAGAGGCCGATCTTGACACCGCTGGTACCAGTCATCGGCAAGTCCACTCAGCTCCACATCTGTCTATACCACATCACTCCATCTCTTCTCTAGCCTGTGCCGCGCCCGTTTAGCCCCCTCGATCCGGCCGAACAAAAGCTGTTTAAGCATGCGGTGACTTGGCATTCGGGCTACATGGCCCAGCCAACGCAGCCTTGTCTGCCGGAGGAGCTCACCGATGGGACTTTGTCCAGATCTTTCAAGATTTGTGAGCTCCTCACACAATCCAGCCTGGTTAAACCCAGGATGGATCGTAGGCTGGCCAGCCTAAATATTTCTAACCGGCGAAGATGTTCCATTACGGGGGGTCCACGTTTCTCAAGCGTAGAGAAGGGAGGGAATGACCGTGGCTGAGAAGACCTGAAGCTTCGTGCAGAGCGAGAGACAAGGTAGCTTCCACACAGCATTAGGCAACCAATGAAAAGATAATGCCGCTCGATTGATTCGGAGTGAGACCTCTGCTGTTAAACCGGAGCCAGTCATGAGCACACTGCCCAGGTATGGGAAACTCTCCACTCTCTCCACAACTGCCCCATCACCAATTGGGAGTTACGTAGGGAGGTGGAGTGTCCGATGGTGCAAAATACCCAGGCAGGTGCTTAGGTTTGGTGGGGCCGATGCTAAGGCCCCACTTCTTAGTGGCAAGCTCCAGGTTCAGCAGCAGCACCTCCAACTCCTCCTCTGAGTGAGCAGATCATCGGCATACATAACATGTTGATTTGAAGTTTTCGTGACTGCAGGAATCCATACTCTTTGGTTCTTTCGGTAAAGTCCCGTAGGTAGAAAAAATAAATAATAAATCGCGACCTTTCGATCGCAACACGAGCAATCGTCATCAGGTAGAAAGATACAGCAGTAGAACTGCTGAACAAGAAAAGGCTGCTGCAACAAGAGGTTACATAGAGGTTTGAGGTGGGTGTCACCCAAGGGCAAGTAGGCAGGGTCAGAGATGGACAGGAGTCCCGTCGCCGTACGCACGCACAACAGCTGCACCAAAGGAGGATTGGCATGCTGATGCAAGCAAATAAAATAGGAAATGAGCTCCGTCGTCGCACACGAGCAACGTCACCGCACGCACACACATAGCAGCTGCGTTAATGGGAGAGACGTACAGCCTATTGAACAGCGAGAGCTGCCGTTACATCGAGGCAAAAGGGGGCAGCGGTGGCTATGTTAGTGAAGATAGCGTGTCTGTGTCAGAGAACCGGGCATAGAGCTACCTCGTGGGCAACACAAGCTGCGGCGTTAACTGCTGCACAGTGAGAGGCCGGCGCACCAACGCCAGAGAACCACCGTAACGGTGGCCGTGCCAGTGAGAAATCTGAGAGTCGGAAATAACTGCTAAATAACGGCAGGAAGGATGGAAACATCACAGCAATTGATGACTTAACTGGTTAATAACCAATACCTCTGCCGTGGCTGATCACTGTTTTAACGCGGTCGGTTCACGCAATATTGTTTTTTCAGAGACCAAGGTACTCTGCAAACCTTCGGGCTACCATCAAAGATTTGTCAATGAAGCCATCCAGATATATAAACACAGACACAATTTCAACCGAGGTGATAGGTACAAACTGAGCAATTATTGGAAGGATGTTATTAACCAGGTTAAGTCATCAATTGCTGTGATGTTTCCATCCTTCCTGCCGTTATTTAGCAGTTATTTCCGACTTTCAGATTTCTCACTGGCACGGCCACCGTTACGGTGGTTCTATGGCGTTGGTACGCCGGCCTCTCACTGTGCAGCAGTCAACGCCGCAGCTTGTGTTGCCCACGAGGTAGCGCTATGCCCGGTCCTCTGACACAGACACGCTATCTTCACTAACATAGCCACCGCTGCCCCCTTTTGCCTCGATATAACGGCAGCTCTCGCTGTTCAATAGGCTGTACGTCTCTCCCATTAACGCAGCTGCTATGTGCGTGCGTGCGGCGACGGTGCTCGTGTGCGACGACGGGGCTCATTTCCCATTATATTAATTTGCATCAGCATGCCAATCCCCCTTTGGCGCAGCTGTTGTGCGTGCGTACGGCGATGGGACGCCTGTCCATCTCTGACCCTGCCTACTTGCCCTTGGGTGACACCCACCTCAAACCTCTATGTAACCTCTTGTTGCAGCAGCCCTTTCTTGTTCAGCAGTTCTACTGCTGTATCTTTCTACCTGATGACGATTGCATGTGTTGCGATTGAACCGTCATGATTTATGATTTATTTTTTCTATCTACGTAACTTTACCGAAAGAACCAAAGAGTATACGTAACATGGTTGAGCAATAGGGAGCCATCCCTTGACCGCATCGGGCATCGATCAGCCTCCCATTGTATCTGTACCAGATGGAAATTCCTCCGGTACAGCTATTGAAGGCTTCACGAACTACGTGGTCAAAATATATGTTAAATAATGTGGGAGCAAGAGGACATCCCTGTCGCACCCCAAGGTGTACAGCGAATGGTTCTAACTCCTGACCACGTAGTTTTACCCGGGCCTGCTCAACATCATGAAGGTCCTTAATGATCGTGAGCAGAGGGTCAGGGACTCCGAAAGCACGAAGAACAACCCAGAGCCCAGGCCTAACGATGTTATCATAGGCCTTGACCAGGTCAATAAAGTAGAGATGTAGGTCTTGTTGGAATTCCCTACACCTCTGCTGTAGCAGACGGACAGAAAATATGGCATCTGTGCAGGACCGCCCATTCCTGAAACCGCATTGGGGCTCCACAAGCCTCTCCTCAGCGTTCCTAGCAAGGCGATGTTGAATAATCCTTGCTAGGACCTTTTCCGGCACACTGAGGAGTGAGATGCCCCTGTAGTTGTTACATTCTGTGCGATCCCCCTTCTTAAACAGGAGAACCACCCGGGCATCCTTCCAATCCTGCGGAACCCGTCCAGTGGTCCAAACTGTTGTTATGATGTCATGTAGGGCAGTCTGTGTACAAACGCCACCCTCCCTCAGCATTTCGCCTGGGAGATCATCTCTGCTTAGTGCCTTTTCTGGTCTCAGCCTTCAGTACTTCTTCAACAGATGGCAGCTCAGCCAGCCACTCACAGGGGGTGACTTCTTCCAATATTTGAGGCACCGCGGCCTCGGCAGGGGAATCCCCACTTTGTCCCACGATGTTTTCCTGGCTGAGGGATTTCCCGTCCCCCAGGACCTCACAGGTAATGCTCAGCAAATCTGCAAACCTGCTCCTGGGGGTCGGAGATTGGATCACCGTTCTTTCCCCAAATGATGGTAATAGGTATGGCGCTGCAGGTTACTTTTTTGATGGAGTTAAATAGCGATTTGTGATCACGGGCCATTGAGGCAGACTCAATCTCCTCAGCAACCCGCGACCACCACCCATCCTTGCAGCAGCTCACGGCTCTCCGAACCTCCAAGCAAAGGCTGCAGTAAGCCTCCTCATTCTCCGAGGTGGAATGCTGTAGCCGATGAGAGTGGGCCTGTCGCTTTTTCTCAGCCAGCTTGAACACCTCCTCTGTCAGCCAGGGTCTCTGGGGAGGTCTGGACCGTGTACTCAAAGCAGCCATTGAAGCTGCATGAGTCACAGTCCTAAACCTCACCCATTTACCCCCGACATCAGGAGGAGTGGGGGACGATGCCAACCTCAGCCGCAAGCGATGATTAAATTCTCGCTTGCAACTTTCATCAGCTAGCTGAGACCATGCCACTAAGGGTTTGAATCGGGTCCTGGGTGTACACCCACCACTGGAGTGGAAGAATGGCAGGCGCATCTTACAGATGACAAGTCGATGGTCAGTGGGAAGATCAACTCCACGGTAGGTCCTGGTGTCAAGGACATGGGCCCACATCCGCTGTTCCGTCACTATGTAGTCCAGCAGATGTTCTTGCTTGGACCCGGCATGCATCCATGATGTAGTGTGGATGCGCCGATGCCAGAACAGCGTGTTGGTAATTACAAGCCCACGGGAAGCACAAACATCTAGTAGTCTCCTCCCGTTGTTATTGAGCTGATCTGGCCCATGCCTTCCAATCACTCCAGACCAGGTGCCAGCATCATGACCAACTCGGGCATTGAAGTCATCCAACAAAATGACTCTATCCCGAGGGGCTACTTTAGCTAGCACCTGTGACAGGAGGTCATAGAAGGCATCCGACTCATCGGTCTTGCCTGCATCCCTCCACGGATGTTCGTCTTCATTGGGGGCATAAGTAACCACGACCACCACTCCTTGCCTCTGGTTAATGGGAAGGCAAGACCAAAGTAGCCTGGGGCCTACAGCTTCCCACACTTCACCGCCAAGCTCCCACGCCCACTTCATTCTCTTATTCAGAAGAAGAGCCACACCCTGTTATTTGGCAGTCTCCTGCCCTGAGTAGAGGACTGTCCAACCCTCATGGTGGCAGGAGCCAGAGCCGGTCCACCGGACCTCCTGAATACTACAGAGATCCAGGCAGTACCGGTCCAGCTCCCAACAGAGGAGTGGCAGCCTCTCCTCCGCAGTGAGCGTTCGAACATTCCACGTGGTCACACGTAGTGGTTTTTTGTTGTTTCTGGAGGAGCCCCAAGGGTAAGGATTCAGCCTCCTGGCTCTGCCAAATAGGGTATGGCCAGGAGACGTCATAGATGCCTGTCCCCCCCGGGCCTCCGGCACAAGCTTATTTATTAAATTTCGTCGTCACGCCATGAGGGGAACAGACAATCATAATTGGCCCTCCCCCCACAGCACTGCCCACGTCAACATTGCCCGTCCGGCACCACGAGGAGGTAGGGGGTTGTTTTGCCGGACTAACCACACACACACACACAGACAGACACAATCACACAGCCACACACAGACACACACACTCACGCCGCCGCCGCGTCCCTCCATGCCTCCCTCCCTGCGTGTGACAGGAGGACGGGGCGTCCTGCGGGATCCGCGGCGGCGACGGGAGCCCCGGCGGGGGGTTCTCGCCCCCGTTGGCCGTGGGGGACCTCGAGGCATTCGCTCTGCGCCCGGCGCCCCAGGGTGGACCCGTCAAGTGCCGCATCACACGCGACAAAAAGGGCATGGACCGCGGGATGTTCCCCACCTACTTCCTGCACATGGATCGCGACGACGGCAAAAAGGCGAGCGCCTAAACACTGCCCCCACCACCCCCCAGAGGGTCGATCGTTCATTTCCCGCACCCTCCGGTGAATTCGTATGGTTGGCTGCGTGCGACGCGAAACAAGCTCAGCGAGTCCAGGCAATTGCCGTGAAGCGACGTGGGTTGCCACTGCAAAAAAACGTCAGGACAATGTGCACGCGACGTCGCGGTGGGTAGGAGATGTTAACGACTACGACATATAAGGATTGCGTTTACCCTTTCTGTCAATAAAACAGGTGTTAAAATGTTCAACCAGCAACAGCAAATCAATAACTTTTTGCAAGGAATCGTGTCTGCGTTAACCACACACAGTACTTGTGGTGAACATGCAAACAAAAACATGCTCTGATAGTATATGATGGCATTGTCTTTGAAACTGATTGGTCCATACCAGAGACAGCTTTCTTTGGTGTGGACCAACCAGTTTCAAAGACAATCTTAACACAACTGTTTTATTGCCAAAAAGGGTAAAACCAATTCTTATATTTTGATACTGGCAAGAAAGGTCCCATGATACTTCTACTACTACCTCTGCCTGGTATACAGGAAATGAGGAGTGTGTGGCTTTCGATCCCGACCCTGATGCACTGTTATATATTTGGAGTGTATTCCTGTTTGTAGTATGTATGTATGTACGTTGTTCCTTAACTGTGTGGTTGTGTGTGTATGTGTGTGCGCATAGTTCTATCTAATTGAAACTGACTATTGTTTTTGTTTATATCATAGGTGTTTTTGCTGGCTGGTCGGAAGCGGAAAAAGAGTAAAACTTCTAATTATCTGCTGTCCACGGACCCTACCAATCTGTCCCGCGAGGGGGAGAGTTACATTGGCAAGCTCAGGTAAGTTGAGGTTCCCACCCTCTGCACGACTAAACCATCCCCCCCCCCTTCATTAAATCACACTTGGCAGATTTCTTCCATAAACATTTAATCAGAGTCATTCCAGCGCCTCCTTTATTCAAATGAGCAACTTTGTGGTAACAATTCCACATTTTGTTTGGCTGGGGGGGGGGGTCAGTTTATCCAAGAGACTTTGTTTGGAGTTTGTTTTTTCAAGGAAAAGGAGCTGAGTTTGAATCCCATGTCCCACTGGTTATTCACGTTCTGGATATGTAGATGCCACTGATTCTTCACGTTCTGCAGATGTAGATGCCACTGGTTCTTCACGTTCTGCAGATGTAGATGCCACTGGTTCTTCACATTCTGCAAATGTAGATGCCACTGGTTCTTCACGTTCTGCAGATGTAGATGCCACTGGTTCTTCCCGTTCTGTAGATGTAGATGCCACTGGTTCTTCACGTTCTGCAGATGTAGATGCCACTGGTTCTTCCCGTTCTATAGATGTAGATGCCACTGGTTCTTCACGTTCTGCAGATGTAGATTCCACTGGTTCTTCACGTTCTGCAGATGTAGATGCCACTGGTTCTTCACGTTCTGCAGATGTAGATGCCACTGGTTCTTCACGTTCTGCAAATGTAGATGCCACCACCGCCATCTATTGCGCGGCAGTTGAACTTACGACTCTCGGTCCGAACAGGCAACCGGACATACGGACGGGTTTGTTAGTATCTGTAAAGCATTCGTAAGTCGAATGTTCATAAGTAGAGAAGTCCCTTTATGTGCAACGGTTCCCTCGAACCACTTCCCTCCGGCTGCGCTGTGGCCCTACCGACAGGCGGTGGGAGGCCTTGTGGACTACAGCTCGGCAAGCCCGCTGGATGAGAATGACGGAACGTGGGTGGGGTGGGTGGGTCGGACTTCCCCCATTTTTTGTTCGCTGTGTGCACACGCAGGTCTAACGTCATGGGCACCAGGTTCACAGTATACGACAACGGGATCAAGCCAGACCGCACTGGCATCCTCGGCGATGGATCCAACCTGCGGCAAGAGCTCGCTGCCGTATGCTACGTAAGTGCCAAAGTCCGCGGGCGTCGGTGTCTTTTGTCACGCGGGCATCGGCGTTTTTACGATTGGAGTCGTTTTTTTTCTGTGTAACGTTATTATGCACGTCATGGGACCGTTTATTGCCGTTATCAAAGCGGGAAAAAATAAGAATATGTTCTACCCTTTCTGGCAATAAAACAGGTGGTGTTAAGATGTTCAAAGAACAAATCAAACACTTTTTGCAAGGAAACATCTCTGCATTAACCACGCACGATACTTGTGGTGAACATGCAAACAAACATGCTCTGATATACACATTGTCTTTGAAACTGATTGGCCTACACCACAGACAGCCTTCTTTACGTACGTACGTCCATGTGTATGTAAGCATGTGGATGGCTCAAGTTTATATACTCCATTACATATCTGCAATGTCACCTGTACGTATGTACAGTGAGGGAAAAAAGTATTTGATCCCCTGCTGATTTTGTACGTTTGCCCACTGAGAAAGAAATGATTAGTCTATAATTTTAATGGTAGGTTTATTTGAACAGTGAGAGACGGAATAACAACAAAAAAAATCCAGAAAAACGCATGTCAAAAATGTTATAAATTGATTTGCATTTTAATGAGGGAAATAAGTATTTGACCCCCTCTCAATCAGAAAGATATTTCTGGCCCCCAGGTGTCTTTTATACAGGTAACGAGCTAAGATTAGGAGCACACTCTTAAAGGGAGTGCTCCTAATCTCAGCTTGTTACCTGTATAAAAGACACCTGTCCACAGAAGCAATCAATCAGATTCCAAACTCTCCACCATGACCAAAACCAAAGAGCTCTCCAATGATGTTAGGGACATGATTGTAGACTTACACAAGGCTGGAATGGGCTATAAGACCATTGCCAAGCAGCTTCGTGAGGTGGTGACAACAGTTGGTGCGATTATTCGCAAATGTAAGAAACACAAAAGAATTGTCAATCTCCCTCGGCCTGGGGCTCCGTGCAAGATCTCACCTCGTGGAGTTGCAATGATCATGAGAACGGTGAGGAATCAGCCCAGAACTACACGGGAGGATCTTGTCAATGATCTCAAGGCAGCTGGGACCATAGTCACAAAGAAAACAATTGGTAACACACTACGCCGTGAAGGACTGAAATCCTGCAGCCCCCGCAATGTCCCCCTGCTCAAGAAAGCACATATACATGCCCGTCTGAAGTTTGCCAATGAACATCTGAATGATTCAGAGTACAACTGGGTGAAAGTGTTGTGGTCAGATGAGACCAAAATGGAGCTCTTTGGCATCAACTCAACTCGCCGTGTTTGGAGGAGGAGGAATGCTCCCTATGACCCCAAGAACACCATCCCACCTTCAAACATGGAGGTGGAAACACTATGCTTTGGGGGTGTTTTTCTGCTAAGGGGACAGGACAACTTCACCGCATCAAAGGGACGATGAACGGGGCCATGTACCGTCAAATCTTGGGTGAGAACCTCCTTCCCTCAGCCAGGGCATTGAAAATGGGTCATGGATGGGTATTCCAGCATGACAATGACCCAAAACACACGGCCAAGGCAACAAAGGAGTGGCTCAAGAAGAAGCACATTAAGGTCCTGGAGTGGCTTAGCCAGTCTCCAGACCTTAATCCCATAGAAAATCTGTGGAGGGAGCTGAAGGTTCGAGTTGCCAAACGTCAGCCTCGAAACCTTAATGACTTGGAGAAGATCTGCAAAGAGGAGTGAGACAAAATCCCTCCTGAGATGTGTGCAAACCTAGTGGTCAACTACAAGAAACGTCTGACCTCTGTGATTGCCAACAAGGGTTTTGCCACCAAGTACTGTCATGTTTTGCAGAGGGGTCAAATACTTATTTCCCTCATTAAAATGCAAATCAATTGATAACATTTTTGACATGCGTTTTTCTGGGGTTTTTTGTTGTTATTCTGTCTCTCACTGTTCAAATAAACCTACCATTAAAATTATAGACTGATCATTTCTTTGTCAGTGGGCAAACGTACAAAATCAGCAGGGGATCAAATACTTTTTTCCCTCACTGTATGTTGAACTTCTTTCGCACCCGTGCATGGCCCAAACCGTGGCAGCGGAGGTGCTGGGGAAGGACAAGATACTAAACACAAAAAGCAGCTCTAAAGAAATGAGTTTTCAAACTGGATGATTTTAAAGTGCGTTAGCTCCTGGGGCTTCCTAATATAGGAAGGAAGAGCGTTCCAGACGGCAGCATAAGCGCATCCGAAAAGCGCGCGATGCGGTGACCGCCGTCTTTGTTCGATGGTTGGCCAAAAGCCGCTGCGAGGATGACCGGAGTTTGCCTGATGGGTTATGCTGTTGTCTAAGTAACCGTTCACTCTCACAGAGTAATTGGGTTTTTTAGCGGAGGAGTATTATTACGTGGTATCCGGTTGCAAAAAATGTGGCGGTGACGATTGTTCTTCAACTCACTGCAGGGGGAGCGCGTTGTTAAAACGCCTGTTACGTGTGGCAATGTAATTTGTTGGGCTGTGTTGGGTGGTGGAGGGTTCTTAACGACACAACTTTGGTGCAGATCGTTATGTGAACTGATCCCAAAGTCAATTGTGAATCGGAGACGTTGCCTGCGAAAACGAATGCGTTCATTATCATAATGCGCGTGTAACGGTATTGCGATGGATTTCTGTTTACCACTCTCCCAGTGATTTGAGCTTTTTTAGTGTGTCATTATTCTTTGCCAGGGAGAAGTGCTCATAGAATACCGCGGTGTCGGACGCACTCAGACGATCTGACCTATATCATCCACGACAGAATGGAATGTGGAGCACATTCACATTCGTGTGTGTGCCAAACCATGGACTTGTTCCGCAAATAACTAAAATAAGCCACACTTTATTAAACTATAAATCAGTGTGTTTAATGCGTAGGCTTTCGCAACCAATATTATCCATAATCGAGGTTTTTGGGTTAGATCGCGTAAATATATAAATGTGTCATTAATCCCGCCACCACCCGACACAGCCAATTAGTAAGGTTGGTCACGTAAACAGAACGCGCCAATTCGTTACGAGTACAGCACACCATCTGAGTACGACGTTTCGCCAGCAATTACAACTAGCATCATCGACAGCCAGATTTGTGGAGAAATCCTCCCGTTTCGTTCTTAGGGGCTGTCCATAAATGACGTCACGCGATTTTGGACGATTTTTGACCCCCCCCCCCCCCCCTAGTCACACGGCGTCACAAAAAGTCAGACCCCCCCCTCAAATATGACGTCATAAAGCTCTGCCCCCACCCCCCCCCAAAAAAAATTAAACATGCTTCAAATCGCTTTAAACTATTGTCATTGTAGTGCGTATTTAATGTGGCGCTGCACTCTGATGTTGTTGGAGAAAACATTTATTTAAAAGTCTATTTAATTAAGTAGAACGTGTTGTCTATATTTATTTAAAGTTGCGCATTTTAATGTGACGTCACGTTTCTCAACCCCCCCCCCATCCCTTCGTCACACATCGTCACAAATGTCTGACCACCGCCCCGCCCCCTAGGTACGTGACGTCATTTATGGACGGCCCCTTAGAAATCAGTGGCGACGACTGGCAGTTTGCGGAACTGTTGCAGATACCGTTTCATTTTAAGGAAGTGACGTCATGGGTGCAACCAACAGAGCGTCTAACCACGGGGGGGGGGGGGGGGGGTTCGAAACAATAGTTGGAATATTCCAAATCAAATAACGCCCAGTCTAAATTTTGATTTAAAGCTTTCGTGACTGATGACGACCGTTTGTGTTATGGTCGAAACGTCGTGAGAATTTTTATTGTTTTATATATTTTATTATTTTATTGTTTCCCTTCAACGTGACTTTACGGAAAGAGCTAAGAATATAATGAAAACGCCCAGTCTGTCAACAAATGTATGACAGATGCACATCAAATGTATACGCGGAAATAATACATTCACTGTCTGTCCTATGGCTCTTACGAATGCAACAACGCGCGCGTGTGTATCATCGGGTGGAATCCGAGAGAGAGAGACGTTACCTGGGCTTACAAGGAATTGTTTTTTTTCCCTCGTGCCCTCCCGTTTGTTAATAAGAAAAAAAACTCGCAGCAGGTGCCTCTAGAGGGCGCCAATCACCTCCAACATTTTTGTCAACTCAAAGGCGCAAAAAAAGCCCTCATACACCCCAACACCACCACCACCACCACCGTTCCTCGTCGTTGGGATGATCGTGAAAATAATGTTGACTGTGAGGTTGCTTCGATTCCTTGCAGTCGACGCAACATTTGGTGCCGTTGTTGTTGTTGTTGTGATGCTGCTGCTGCTGCTGTTGATGATGATGCTTTGATGTGTGTGTGTTTGTGCACCCGATATTAGGAGACAAATGTCCTGGGATTCAAGGGACCGAGGAAAATGACGGTGATCATCCCTGGAATGAACCGGAGTCACGAGCGCGTTCCAATCAAGCCCAGAAACGTGAGAAACTTCAATACTTTTACACTTAAATTTTTTTTTTATATTTCACCAGCTAAAACCCCACTGAGCTATATTGCTCTTTTGCATCAGAAAGCGACCTGGCTATCTCAAATGATAACTCAACAAGAGGTGGGCTTATCACGTGGAAATGTAGAGCACCCGCATAATCCAAACGCGTGATGTTAATTCTAAACGTGGGGGCAAAAACAGGGATGACCCGGAGAAAAATCCACGCGACCACGGGCAGCGGTTGCTGGCCACCCACGCCCTCGTGCGCCGTGCCGGCCTTCACAGGTGCTCGCTAACTGCACTTGCCCCTACAGGTCTGTTGAAGGCTATACGGGGGGTGGTGGTGGTGGTGGATCTTTGTTTGACGTGTGCCGCCCAGGAGCACGAGACCCTGGTGTCTCGCTGGCACAACAAGAACACGGAGCACACGGTGGAGCTGCACAACAAGGCGCCCGTGTGGAACGACGACACGCAGTCGTACGTGCTCAACTTTCACGGCCGCGTCACCCAGGCGTCCGTCAAGAACTTCCAGATCGTGCACTACAACGACCGTGAGCTCACGCCGTGGCTGAAATCCAAAGTATTACCGCGGCGGCAGTAGACACGTGAAAGTGTTGTTGTTTGCTGCTGCTGTTGTTGTTCGTGACGATGTAAGTAATCGGAAAGAGAGGAAGGCCTAATAGAGAATGGCTTGACGATGACGACGGCGTAAGGAGATTTGTGCCCGGAAAGATGTGGCCACTGACTTGGAGCGTATTGGCAACAAGACAGAGGAAAGTGGAAACAAATTACGAAATTTCAATTTAAAGCTTTCGTGACTGCAAGGATTCATCTTCTTTGGTTCTTTCGGTAAAGTCACGTAGAATGAGAATAAAATAATAAATTGATGAAATAAAATAACACTCCCTTCACCTGATGAAGGCCGCTTGTGTTGTGGCCGAAACGTCGTGAGAATTTTATTGTGTTATTTTATTTTATCAATTGATTATTTTATTCTCATTCTACGTGACTTTACCGAAAGAACCAAAGAAAATTACGAAATGTGCAGTGGGCAAATCTGCCCGCGGATCGTGATGGTGGTGATGATGAGCCCCGCGGGTCAGAGCACCGAACATTCGCTAACACGTGGGTCGGGTTATGAGTGTGGTTTGCTTTTTGCTTTATTAGAATAGCAGGCTCCTCTATCTTATTTAGACTGCAGGAGAAATCCGATGAGCTATGAAGCTCTTTTTCACAGATGTCCAGTAGGGCGAGTTACATCAACAAACAATGCAAAAGGCGATATGAGTGCAAGATGGATGAAAGTAAGCAAGGTATGAAAAATCACAATAGGTTTTACCCTTTCTGACAATAAAATAGGAGGTGTTAAGATATTCAAACACCAGATAGAACACTTTTTGCAAGGAATCATCTCTGCATTAACCACACACGGTACTGGTGGTGAGCATGCAAACAAACACGCTACGGTAATATATAGCATTGTTTTTTAAACTGATTAGTCTACACCAGAAACAGCCTTCTTCATGGCCTAGTCTCACCATTGTCAGACTAGAGAATGCCAAAAGGCGGACAGGACAAGCACAATGCACTTAGAGCCTTTATAGCTCAGGGTGAGCAGCTGTATCAAAACCTATTCTTATTTTTCATACTTTGATGCTGCCAAAAAGGTCCCATCATAAAGGAAAGTCATTAAAAATAAATCCGTAAAGTTCTAGAAGTACAAATTACACAAGTACTGTACGTAAAATTCCAGCATTTGTCAATACCAAATGCAAGCTTGGGCAAGGCAGCAAAATAACAACAACAGTCCCAGGCCACACCAAGACAACACACAGTCCCTCACTTATACTGCACATTAAAATGTAAATATCAATACATGTTCTGGGTTCTTTCGGTAAAGTCACGTAGAACCAAGAATATGAATCCCTGCAATCACGAAAGCTTTAAATCAAAATATCAATACATGGGTAAAGTTCAAAGTTAAAAGTTACATTGCCAAATGTGGCTATATCTCGCGCTAAGCTTCTACTTCAGGATAGATTTTATTGAAGGAAGATTTACAATGCGCCTCGATTATGCCCCGTTAAACAAGTATGCAGGCACTTACAGCATAAATACAAAAGCATCAGCCATCGTATATTTGCTGATGGCAACGTCATTATGAAATTCATCATGGAAATGAACCACGGTTAAACGTTAGAATAACTCAGTCGTGGAGGCTGCAAAATCGGGATCAAGATAAATTCGAGCAAAGGCGACCTGAGTTCAATTCCCGCTCACGGCCATCAACGGTGACGAATATCTGAACCAGTAACGGGCCTGCCCTAGTTGGACTCAGCTTTATATGAGCACCCGGTGCGGTGTGTAAACATCGGCACAGGCGTCCGTGCGCGATACTGGTCACCCCCCCCCCCCCTGCTCCCCCCACCACCTGGTCATTCTGCCTTCATAGGTGCTGCTCACGAACAGCACTCGCCCCGGCATTCTGTTCAAAGGCTACACAAGTACGCGGGGATCTTTGTCTTTGTTCGCCCGCAAAGGTGGCCGAGCATGGTGCTGGCCACCCGTCTCCCACCCACACCATGCGCCGTGTCGGCTGGCCTTCATAGGTGCTACTCGCGAACAGCACTCGGCCCCAACGACGGACTGTTTAAAAAGGCTGCACGGCACACGGGGATTCTCTGTCTTTGTTTTTGCACGTGCAGCGGAGTACATCATCATGCAGTTTGGCCGCGTCGCCGAGGACATCTTCACCATGGACTACAGCTACCCGTTGTGCGCCCTGCAAGCGTTCTCCATCGCCCTCTCGAGCTTCGACGGCAAGCTGGCCTGCGAGTAAAACCCATCTCCGGCCACTCGACCGGGCCCCAAGATTCCGGACGTCGCCTCCGAGCGTGGACCCCGGCACGGATGCGTAACCGCCGATTCGGAGTCACGGCGCTCGCGGCTCGGTTTGGGCCCCCGTTCGGTGTGTGGTTCCCTGTGTGTGACGTGAGCGAAAGGCGTTGGGAGGGAAAAATAACAACAACAACAACAAAACTCGCGTGAAAAGCAACGCGCTAAGTTTTCCCAAGAGTTCATTGTGTCTTTTTTTAGGAACCCCGTGGGTCGTAAAGCCGCCGTGAGGGCGTTTACATTGGGCTTAACAGACACAGGCCAAAGTAACCTTTTTGAAAAAGTCACTCATTTATGAATACGAGGTTTTTTTTCTGAATGTCCAATGGCAATTTATGAAAAATAAAAAATAAAAACGCACGCCGGTCAAGTCGGTTGCTCGTCGCGTGGAGGTGGCGACTCCACACGACGATCCCGCGATTTGTTGAATGCTAAAACCAGCGATCAAGCAGTGGAGGGAAATGAGCAAACAGTTAAAGATTTGAAAAGTAAAAAAAAAAAATCGCTAATATACACCCTTCAAAAAAGCCGCTGTGTAACATAAATGCAATAAAGCCACCCTATATGCCAATTATTATTAACACGCTGTTTACAGTTAAATTATTATATTTAATCTATTAAAAAAACTATACATTAAAATAAACAAAACATGATTGAAAACGAAGTTATGAATACAAATTAAATGTAAAATAATATATTCAAAACGCTCTTCGCCTATTTTCTTCCAAAGTAAACATTGATATTGCGTTTTCCTCAGCTTGTAACTTTATAAAAGGCAACATCATCGATTGTGGCAAATTTAATGACCTTGGTATTAATTGAACAGATCACGGGTTACGTATGGAAAAACAGAATCGTATTATTATATTTCCCCCACATTTTGAGCTTGGTTTTACTCTTGAGACGCAATGAGAATAATTTGGGCCACTCGTAGAATGACAGTGCAGCGCTTGTTGACTGAGCAAATTGTGTTTTAATTGATATGGCAACTGTTTTGTTACATAATAGCTACCTCTGAAACCCCTTAAAGTGACCTCTGGTCAGCACGGTATGGGGGTAGCGCTTACCCGCCCGGCCGCTGAGAGTGATGATCATTGCATGACAGTGAAACCATTGTTTGAAATTCTCAGATCCCGCAACTTATAGGCAAATTAAGTGCAGGGGTTATTATTGTGCAGTCATTGGTGACCGAGCTGAGACCATGAACTCACTACACCTTGGACCCCTGTGTCATACAATCATCGTGAACAATATTGGCCAGACAGAAACAGGAGCATTTCTCCACAATTATGGCTGTCGCCTGACGAGGTTGGTTGTAATTGCCGGCGAAATGTCGAATTGTGAATGTTGTGGGTTTACTGTCCAACGTACCGGTGTGCTGAACTAGTAACTAATTGGCACGTTCTGTTTACGTGACAAACCTTACCAATTATGGCTAAAATTGGTCGCGTAAGCCTACCACGTGTTAAACGGAAGAAGAAATATTTCCCCGTGCGGCTAAATGAATCTTTTTCAGAAGATTGTCAAAATAAATAAAAAAAACCGTGAAATGTAAATTCGTCCAATTTCAAAAGCAATTATACATCCACACACACTTTGCAAGCGTAGCTCAATGAAATCTTTGCAAGCAATTAATCTTTGCAAATGTCAAGCATGGTATATACGCCAGTGTTGAACAGCAGCTTTACGGATGTAAATTATCGTTGCGATAGTGTTAATATCCAACTGCGTTAGATTTTGTACCTCGCCGAAGAATATATTCATCAGCAGTTGTAAAAATGCCACATCCACAGTTAAGATCAGTGCATTTAAATATACCGATGTTTCTTTCACGTTCTCAAAGGCTCGGATTAGCAGGGCAAATGACAAAAAAAACCGGAGATGATTTCCAAAGGAAAGATTCCTTATTGTAATTCTGTGAATTCCGGGGCATTGTCAGAATTTTAAGCATATTTTTCAAAAATGTCACATCTCCAACAGAGCGATGGGGGGGGGGGGGGGGAGTGGGGAAACGATAAAAACGCGACAAAGCTGTGAATTTGTGACACGCATCATCGAGAACCTTCCAGCACACACAAACGGTGTGCACCCCAAACTTTGAAGAAAAAAACACGGAGCTATTCTTTTGAAAATAAACTTGCAACAGTTACTTTGCCCTGTGGCTCAAGCAAGCCACGTGATCTCTGCACTGATGCGACGTGATTTTAATTGAGTGTTTTGGCCCGACCCCAGACTCAGCATTACTGTAATTACTCAAGTTTGTCCAGCTTTCCACATTAGTCGTGGCACACAGCCATCTGCCAGTAGTTAATGCATAATGACAGATGTATTTAAGTTCATTGTATTAAGAGTAATATTTTTGTTCTGCTTATTAGATTTATAAATATGAAGGTCAGTATGGAGAGTATTTCCCCATAACTGGACAACCACTTTTAAGCCAATATCCAGTGATGGTTGGAGAGAGCCTCCTGGTTAACCCAGCGACCTAAGTTAAATTCCCGGCCACGGCTTAACATAAGTGGCGAGTTAATTTTCTATTTGTTCGAGGCTGCCTCCCCCTGCACCAAGCCGCACTAACCAGCTTGGTGAAGTATGGTGAAAGCAACACCCACAGCGTTGGGAAGCCAGGCCTGTACGTTACCAAGTTGCTCATTGCGATGCCTGAGCAAAACGACCATCCGTCTAAGGAAGCCTGACATTTCCATTTAAACTACAGTTCTAAACCAATCGTTTATGAATCCCCTAACAGATGAGCAAATACAAATGACCACACCGGCATCGTGCATTTCGGCATCAAAATACTTCTTACTCAAATTTCGATTTAAAGCTTTCGTGACTGCAGGGATTCATATTATTGGCTCTTTCGGTAAAGGTCACGTAGAAGGGAAATAATAAAAATTAAACATAATAAAAATTATCACGACGTTTCGGTTGCAACACAAGCAATCATCATCAGGTGTGAAAACTACAGCAAGAAAATTTGAGCTGAAGTGGGAGAGATGCTGTATAACCCCTTACCACAGTATCTCTCCCATTTCAGCAAAACATTTCTTGCTGTAGTTTTCACACCTGATGATGATTGCTTGTGTTACAATCAAAACGTCGTGAAAAATTGTATTATGTTTTATTTGCATTATTTCCCTTCTACGTGACTTTTACCGAAAGAACCAAGAATATGACTTCTTACTCGTTTAAAACATTACTCCGATGCAGAGCGAAATGAGCGAGGCAGTCGAATGCCCTGGCAACGCTTGAGCAGTCATTCGTGCCACCAAACCGTTCCCAAAAATATATATAATTTTTACTTCATTCCCAAAAACGTTATTGCCTGGACATCTCTGATTGCAACCAAGTTGTGCAACTTCGTGCGAATGAATAGCAAGCAATCATTGGCGTGGCTTTCACTCTGCCCCCCCCCCTCCAGAGCGATAAACATCCCGCACGCGAGCCCTTGCTTTGCTCTCGTTAGCGCCACGAAAATTAGACGTTCCGGCGATGCCCCCTTAGCCCACGGCTGCACAGTCAAAGCACAATTTTGTACTCCATTGCCCGCAGCTGCACAGCTTTGCACCGGTAGCGCACGATTGTCCAACGGATGGAAACGCTGGGCCGAAGTTGATAGCGGTGTTGCTTCCTCCCGGAGGTGCCAGTCCAGCTGGAGTTAAAACCGCTGATTAATCTGCAGCATTGTAGTAACTAGGGTACCGTAAATAGTATCAAAGCCAGGATCGTCTCACTGCCTCGCTTGGCTTCTCCGTGTGGCATGCCCCCGCCGTATTTGAACGCGGCCATCGTTATATTTACAGCAGCAGCGTTCAATCCACAGCGACTTGGAGGCGACACTTTAGAGGCCCCCACGGTATCTCGGGCGGCTTTTCAAGGTACCAAGGGGCGCGGTGGCTCCGCGCCTTCGCCGGGCGTCGCGGGTTCACCATTCCACGGAAACGTCGAGCAACACTTACGGTGGGCCAACAAAAAAGCTGACTTCCAGTAAGGCGCCGTGGGAGTGTTGTTGAGGCGTGTGTCGGGGTGGTGGTTCGTGTTGCCACATGTCTTGTTTCACCTGTGCGCTAAACGGGTGTTGTTGTAACGGGTGCTCCGTCGATGGTGCCCGGCGGTAATAAATTGCATCGTGCTGGGTCTTCTTTAAACAACAACAACAAAAACGTTGAATAGCTTTTGCTTTTCCAAAATGTTAATTGTTTCTCTTTGCCAGTCAACTGCAGTACTGGCTCAACGTGTATACTCGACGCATTTGTTATTTTGTTCCGCTGTTGCGTCCCGGTCGTAATGGCAAGTGGGGTAGAATCCACTACGATTCGCTGATTTTCTGACGTTGAACCCATTCACTGCATCCTAAAACGCTTTTGTTTCGACAAAATACAAAGGACGCGTTGCAGTTTCATCCTGTTGGCGAGTAGGATTACGCTTCTTTTGGACGATTGCATTCCCTCGTTATTCGCGAACCCACTATCATCCGCTGTTGGCCATCCGCAAATCGCATCTGGAATGCTACGCGACTGCGTCGAGAGAGAGCGAAAGTGATGAGAGATAATGTGATGAGAGATAAAGCGATGAGAGATAAAGCGATGAGAGAGAATGCGACGAGATAAAATGATGAGAGCTAACGCTTATTTATGCATTTAAGGTAATTCATTTAAAAGGTTTTCATTGGCCAATATCCGCCAAATTTGCTATTCACGAATATCTCTGGAACGTGTCCCTCGTCGCGAATAACGAGGGAAATCCCGTAGGCATTTTGTAGTCGTCTTGTCAATTTTCCCCAAGCGACGTTCTATTGAATAAACGACACCTATTTGAACAAAATAAGTCTATTCGCAAAAAAAAACACCCGTAACTGCGAGGCGCCAAACATCCGTTCCGTGCAAACGTTACGTTTCATACGGAATGACGACAATTGTGAGGTTTTTTTTTGTAGCGAGTGGTGGCTGCCCGTGGCGTTCTGGGTCTTAGTCTGAAAGTAGCACGTTGTGTGCCCCAAGATTGCACGTGATTCAAAACGTTCTGTGACATCGCGTTCGGTGGCATTTATTAATACACACCGCTTGTGCGCGACGCTTGATTTTATACCGTTGTACGTACACCTGCCGAGGTTGCTCGTGGTGATTGCTCGAAGTACGGCCAATTTACACGATCGTGTCTACATGACGTGGCTTCTGACACAGTGACCCTAACGATGTTGATTAGGTGACACAAGATGCGACGGCGGTGATTTTGCCGATCGTCGCGATGGTTTATTGGTTAAAATCGGCCACTCGCTTGTGTATACATTCCACTGAATTGGGTGGATTGACCCCAGCAGTACGTTGTTGTTCACTTCCTAGATGTACGTGACTTGGTATGAATAAATCGTGCTTGCAACTCCAAAACGCACGGCCTTGCTCCTTTCACAGTTACCGTGTATTTTGTGTTGCTAACGAGTTAACGCCGCAAGTCCCCGCACCTCCAATTGCATTACTGTCAACCCATACGGTTTAGCCCGTATTCTTGTACAGGGAAATTGACTTTTCAAGCCCATACAAGCGCACATACGTTTCAATATGGGCAATGTTTGTTTCTCCCTTGTGATGGGATTTTGTAGGATGAATTTGAAATGTATAAGGGCACGGGGTGGCCAATGAGGTCTGAATTGGTCTTTAATTAGGTAGGGCAGTGGTAAGGGGTTGACAGCGATGTAGATTTGACAGCAGCATTACCACTTAGAGGAAGCCACAACCCAAAAACACACATTGTAGACGTCAGCACGCTGCGTATTCCTTGCCTGTCATGAGGATTCATTTTGGGGGGAAAAAAATGTATACTCATTGTCCAGCCTGACACCTTTTGCTTATTGAAACATGGGAGTGATGTGCATATACAGTGCCATGACACGCTTAACCTTAACATTTTGCCTGCGTTGTGAAATGGTCTGCAATTAGGTAGCACTCAAAAATTGACAGGTATGCCGATTAGCACGATTGGCCACGTATACACTCCAACTTACGAGGGTTGATAAAAAAAAGTACCAGGTGCTTTTTTGAGACAAAACTAAAGGACATGCCTAATCAACTTTAACACCCTCAAAGTACTTTGGTCCTGATCGAACGCAGAAATCTCAGGGGTCCTGCCATTTGTCATCTCTGGTACTCTTCTTTCGGGGCATGGCTCTTCGGTCCGAGTTAAATTGTGAGTGGTTGGCGTAATCCTGAAATCCCTTCAATCTAAAACAGTAATTTCGTGCCAACTCTGGTGAATCCGGTTGGCTAAGTGTATGTGCTCCATTTTCTCAATCGCAATGATCTGATGCACATCAGCGTAACAACGCAATTATATTTGATGCACGACACCACCTACCCCGAAATATTTCAAGGTCGTGGGTCACATCACACCATTTGTGGACCAGTCTGCCACGATAAGCCGTAGTGACATTTGGGTTGGTCACATCTTGTCCAAGCATGTAGTGCCGTGTTCGTCACTAATTTTCAGAGGGGGGCCCCACTTTTGCAATAAGACATCAGTGAGGTCCACCACCACCTTGTAAGGAGTGTTTTCACATTTGAGTATTGTCGGTGGGAGCGTATTGAAGGCCACCCTTTTAGTCCCCCCCATTGCACATGGGATGTGGCAATGCTGTAGGCAGCCCCACAAAATATCTGCACATCTCGTGTGGCACCATTAACAGGTCCCTGCAGGGTGGGCTGGTAGGAACATTGGAATTTTTCACTTCGTTAAAGTATTGAAAGGGGACGGACACATTAATCTATTGCAGGCTGGTACACTCAGGTTACAACTTCGTTCCTACCAGTAATAGGTAACTTTTCAATGCTGGACATTCAAAAGGACATAACTAAAATTGCATGAGGAAATCCAAATTAGTCAACATTCATAACTACATTTCCATACTTAAGCATAATTGGTCACAAACAAACACACCACAATTTATCATGCTTGTCAATTTTTATTTTTTTTGCTTAGAATGTTACACATGACATGCAGCGAAAGCAACTGGCAGAGGTGGGGGGGGGAAGAACCATCAAAAAAGCACTTTGGATGAAGAATCGACATTTAACTCCCTGCTACGTTAGGAAGCAAAACTGGCAAAGCAACTAAACATTAACGCGTTGTCATGTGTTAACGCTGATGGAGATTTAGCTGCTGCTGCTGCCAAGGGTGAGCTTATCGAACAGATATTCTCCCATGCCAGACTGCGATGCTCCAAGGCGCTTGAGGTTGGTGACGAAATCCCCAAGCTTTTTGATGGCCTCCACTTGCTCCTCGAGGTAGTGGCTCTCCAGGAAGTCACAGAGCTGCAGAACATTAAAAACCGCAAAACATAGTTAGGCCATTGTTAAGAGATGCCAATCGATATGAAACCTGATTTAAAACCAAGTACGTCATCAGAACGGGAAAGGTTGAGAGGCACATGCGTTCCACTATCCTTCCAGCAGTGTACCTGAGGGTCGTTCTCCTTGCTGCCAAGGGCGTGCAAATCCAGCAGCGACTGATTCACGTTCTTCTCCAGCTGCAGCGCGAGCTGCACGGCCTCGAGCCCACTGCCCCACTCGTCACGCTCGGGTTTCTACGCACACCCACACAAGGGAAATGTGAAACGTCTCTACGTCATCTTCAACAGCACAACCCCCCCCCCACCCCCCACACTTTGTGAAATGGTTTTAACTCTACTGCTATGTATGCAAGCCTTCCTTTGCGCGCACCGTATGTAGTTAACCGTGCTAATCTGTGGTGCGGGATAAGTCAATGTGTAGGCGAGACTTCACCGACGTTTTTACGTAACAATGGGTCTCTGTACATGAATTGACTTTCTGGGCATGCAGTTATTTTCACGTGATAATTGTAACCAGCCACTCCCATTGCCAGAAATGTGAAACCATTAAAATGTTTTAATCGCAAAAAAATACGGATTTTATTCTAATTTGGGCACCACTGCCAAAAGTATATTTGTGTCGTTCCAAGTCTGGCAAAAAACATACCTTCACGTCTTTGAGGACAACACGCCCGCCACGTTTGTTCTGGTAGGCCATCAGCTTCTCAGCATGCTCACGCTCCTCGTGGGACTGTTCCTTGAAGAACTTGAAGAAGTTGTTCAGCGCCACGTCATCACGGTCAAAGTAGTATGCCTGCAAATACGAAGCACAAGAGGATTATTCACGGACACGCTCTCCGTCATATTGTCAACGCCACCTTGGTGTGTATGCTGCGGGCCAAGCGCTACAGCAATAGCCCTGTGCTACTGGCTAAAATCACAAGTCACCCCCATGAGGTTACCCATGGAATTACATGCTGAAAAATTACGCGAATGTTTGCATTAAGTATCCATGGACAAATCTCCAAACTATTTTCATCAAGGCAAAAAACGCTCTGCCCTTCCCCCCCTTTTCAAACTCTTGTGGCATTTGCTCCGAAAAGCCAGCCAATGAGTAAGAAAACCATTTGGGCTGTAAGCCAGCTAGATGATTTTTTATTACATACCGTAGGCGTAAACAATCCCCTCCCCTATGCGGTCATTTCGAGCACGTTTCCACACGCCACCGATTATCGACTCACGTTTGCCCACGTAAGAAAAGTGCTTCTTTGCCTGCCAAGCGAGCCCTCTGCGGGCAAACAGCTCCCGTCTCTCCCCTATTCAATGCCCCACCTAACCCCTTCTCCCCCGTTCCAGGCCAGCTGGCCCGAGGCATCTCCAACTCGCCCAACATTCGTTAGTAACTGCAAATACTTAATAACCGCACTGGTACGCTTTCATTTATTGAAGCAACTACTCTGCTCGCAAATGTCGCTCTCTACGTGGTAATAATTTATGTTCGTTTTCTACCAAATACCCCCTTTGCCACCAAGTGTCCTAAATTACATCCCCCTCCAAATGTATCTCAACGATCGAGTCGTGACCTTCAAAGTAAGGTGACAATGCATCGTCGAGATGGAAGGGTGGGGGGGGGGATGGTTGATTCATCCAGCAGTGGATTCGAGTTTTGTTTAACCGGAGGGTCGGTCGCAACCCTTTGCGAGACGACGATTAGTCTTTCGTGTGCATGAGTGGCTTGGGTTGAGGGGGTGCTGTCGATGGGCAGTGATGGAGAGATTTAAAAAAAAAGCCCTCGGCGCGAAATACCAACTGCGTGGTCGGAAACGCAAACGACTGTAAAATACATTTAACAAAAAGGACGGGAACGCGTCAAAAAATAACGTTCACATTTCACAGACGATACAAACAGATTGGGTCAACCGCTTCAATGCGCTGCCGCTCAGATTGTTTATTCTTAAGTCTTGTAAAATCTATATTTTTTTAAACAAACGCGTCTCGCTTTTGCTGTCTATTTATTTATTTATTTCCCACGGCCGCCATTTCGCATCGCCTCGCCCCCTCCTCCCTCGGTCACCACAGACCCCGCGTCGCCACCTCATCGCCCACCACCACCACCACCCTCGATCACCATTATTACTACTTACTACCACCAGTAAACCCACCTCATCCACCTCGAAAAAAAACCCAAAAACCCAACTTCGTTCCAGATGGTGGCACGGATCAGTTTAACGACCCTCTTGCCACCCCACGAGCGAGAGAGCCCCTTTCGCGCCTCACCACCAAAAACACATTCCTTCCCTTCAAAGTTAATCGCCACGAACACTGCCCGCAGCCTCTTGCTCGCCAATAAAACCCAAAACCACATACGCGGACCTCCTCATCCCAACAAAACGCCTCGAAAACCCAATTAATTCCGTCCCCTCGTCGTCGCCCGCAACACCGCTTTTCCCGCCCGTCCGCCCCCCTCCACAGCCAGCCATTGCCTCACACACGGCCCTTGACGTTCGACAAGCTATAAAGCAGTGCTTTCTTCCTACGTGCGCAGACAACGTACTAAGTCACGTCCCATAGCCGTGCGTGTGCGTGGGGTTGTGTGTGCGTGTGTGTTTACCATGGAGAGGTAGACGTAGGAGGCCGACAGCTCCATGTTGATCTGGCGGTTGATGGCCGCCTCCACATCCTGCGCGTAATTCTGGCGAACCTGGGAAGTCATCGTGTGTCTGCTTCTACCGTTTGCGAGCGTAACAAATAAACAAAATTAATGGGTTGTTGTTGTTGTTAACAAACAGGTTGGCTTTGTGAACAGAGGGAGTTGTTTAAGTCTGCTCGTTTAACGAAGAGTTTGAGAGTCGAGGGGGTTGGTTCCGTTCAAACACTGTTGAAGCAGGAACGCAGCTCGACTGTGGCGCACGATGCCGAGCCTCCCTCTATTTATACCCAGCGAGGAGGTGGAGGAGGAGTCTACGGGAATCGCGATTCCTACCAGCGCGCGATTCTAACGACGGAATCGCGATTCCAGAGCGGTGGGCGACTCTCACACACACGCACACACACAAAAACGTGCGTGACACGAAACAAAGACGGGACAAATTGTTGGGGCAAGTGCTGTTTAGCGTGTAACAAACCTACGAAGGCTGGTACTGTGGCACAAGAGGGGGGAGGGGGGGGGGTGGCTGGCCAGGCACCACGCCCGGCCGCTTTTGTCTCCCCAGTGGTGATGTTAACACACCGCACCAGGTAGCCCACACACACAAACTCAGTGACGGGACAGATTTTTTTTTATCAGAACCGGTCATGCCATCTCCATGATTGACATTGTGTGTGGGGCCTTCAACCATGAGTGAAGTGATAAGTGGAAAGTTATATCAGAACGGGGTCATGCCATCTCCCCTTTCACCATCCCGAACTGACCAGGGTGGTGAAGTATGGTCCCAAAAAAAACCCCATGACGAAACGGTGTTGTGTGTGGCCTTAATCAATTGACGGTTTGAGAATGACTGCGATATATTAATGTATATTTGTGCAGTGTGCGGGCACACAAGACAGAGTTCTGCTGATATCACGCTTTTGTAGAAACGAGACGAACTTAGAATAAAAACACACATCCGCCAATAACACTTCCTTAAAAGGTAAACCTTATGTAATAGGCCACGTTTCGAGAAATGCAAACGTCACCTAAGCCTTGTTTTGACTTTTAAAGCCAGCGCTATTAATGATTGTGCTAGCTATTGCAATAACACCACCACCACCAGATGCGTTTAATTGTGGCAGTGCGTTGGCTGTGGTACACAATCGTACATTCATTGAGTCTACATATTTATTTCCTTTAAAGGGAGTATTATTGGCACGTGTGTAGTAGGGCTTTTGATTTAAAGCAAGTCTCATTTGTATAAAAGCATACATTAGCAGAACGTTGTGCCATGTCTCCACATTAAAACACGTATTATTCTATCGGCATATTGTCTTTTCACGCCAATGCAGGTTCCTATTTCCCAGCAGTAACATGTGTTTAAGAATACATACTCTGGACCGGTTTTGACATTCTAGGTCTCATCAGCAAAGTCAGGCTTGTTTAAAAAAAGGCTGCCAGATGTTATTGCCAAGAACATATTCCTTCTCAACTAAGCAGCCCTGTTCAACGAGATAAAAGGCAATATTGTGGCTGATGATATACTGTACATGATTTGATTCCCGTTCCAACATTGCTCACTATTGATTCGTTCAAGTAACCTGACCGTTATGATGAGACAATGTATGTCGAAATCGGCCCAGAGTTTGCTTGCATTCAATACACGCTTCTGAAATAGTGGACTTGTGTAAATGAAAATATCGTTTGTACGTGGATTCTAATCTTGCGTACGATAACATGTTTGGGAGCTAAATGCCAATGTCGAGGTCTGCTAGCTACGAGATGGCTAGCAGAGCTACTTGTAAACAAACACAGCAGTGGGTATACGGAAGATGACAAATTTAGATTCGAATAAGTAATATTAAAATACTTTTTTTAAACACGCTTTAATTAAATGTACCGTACGAGTAATGGCAGAACTCCACGACTCCAGGAAGTGGCCCCGAAGCTTGCCATAAGGTATGGGACTGTGGTGATTTACAGCCAACGTCAGTTGAGCATGGACAATTAGAGCCAAGCCGAAACATAACATATAAAAAAGATTGTTAAAAATATATTTTTTTATTTGTAATGATAGAATATAGTATTGTCATCAGTATGACATACGTATACCAGGTTTGCAGTCGATACCACATTGGGAAGTGGGTTAAAAAATTGAGTTACAGAATTTGAGGATACAACAGACAGAGTGAGTTAAATAAAAGCGTGTAATAATTATAAACAAAACAGGGGATGGAATAAACTGCGTCTATGTAGTTATTCCCCCCTTAGTTATTCTTTAACAATACGGTTTGACCGTGGTACATTCTGGTTGTCACCAAGACATTCAATAGTGACCCATTCCCCACCACATTTAACCAAATATCTTGACGTTACATTACATTACACTTGAGATGTAAGTTTAACAACAAAATAAAACGGCTGCCCGCAAGGTTGCCCACGAAACCCCCCTATGGTTATTGCATGTCATCATCCTGTTACAAAATACATCCGATTGCCCGCACGGGATCGTGATGCGAAATCGTGACACTTCACTTGTGGGGGCCGCCACGCGCCCTTCGGCACCAGGCGATGAGTCAGCAACATGACCTCATGGAACAAGCATCGGGGAAAAGTCCCATCTTTCCCGACTCGAGTGCCCAATGGATTATCTTTCACCACTTAGCTCATGATGGTGTATCTGTCGTGGTGCGTGTAGTTTATATGTGCGGTACAGTGTATTGTCACGTCTGTGACACGTTCCTTATTTGTCCAATCTCGTGAGTACTGCCTTAGTTTTGTCTCGTCTGTACCGTGTGTTATTTGTTCAATTTCGTCTTGTACTGTTTGGTTCTTTCGGTAAAAGTCACGTAGGTAATAAATAAATAAAATAAAACAAAAATGAAAACACCTAAATTTAATTTAGTTGTAAATAAAATCAAACAAAAATGCAAACAACTAGATTTAAACAACTAAATTTAATTTAGTTGTTTTCATTTTTGTTTCATTCTATTTACAACTAAATTAAATAAGAATGAAAACAACTACATTTAATTCAATTGTTTTTTTTACCTACGTGACTGTACCGAAAGAACCAAAGAGTATGGATCCTTGCAGTCACGAAAACTTCAAATCTAGAATTCGTCTGTACTGTCGTATTTGTTCTGTCTGCCTTGTCTGCAATGTGCCTGTTCCGTCTCTCCTGTCAGTACCAACTAACTCAGTCCCACTGTCTCGTCTGTACTATGTGTTCTTTCTTTCTGTCTGGGTTTGCATGTTAATGACCGTCTCATATTTTTTTAATGTCTATACCCAGTAAACACGGAACGTTGGGTCAACGTTGGTCCAAAGGTTCCAACCACACGCTGCAAAAACGACGCAAGGTTGCTTCACGTTTACTGGCTAACCTGTATATGTATATAGTCGGTTCTGACTCCTTTGGCACTGCATATATCTCGTTTCTCCTGCCCGCCTTCAGTATTCGTTCCTTCCATTTCGTTATTCCCAAGAAACCCATTGCGATGGGATAATAAAAAAAAATTACATGTTTTGTTTTACACGAAATCGAAGTTACATTCGTCGATTTGTCTGTCGTATTTAGCTTAATGCAAAGGGAGTCTCTTGTTGAATGAACGAGGTGCGCGGGACACAACCGATACACGACCGCTCCCCGTCTATGTGTGTGTCACACATACACATACACGGGGAGCGGTAGTGTAGCGGTTAGTGCGCTGCGCTACCAACCTGACCACCCGAGTTTATATTCCCGATGGGCCTCCCCTAGATTGACTCAGCCTCACACGAGTACCCGGGGTGCGGTGCGGGACAACAACAAAAAACAACATCGCCACTGGGGGGAGACAAAGGCGGCCGGGCGTGGAATTCTGGCCACACACCCCCCCTCGTGTGCCGTGCCTGCCTTCATAGGTGCTCGCTATCGACACTTTCCCCCAACAGTGTGTTGTTACAGGCGACACGGGGTGTGTGTGTGTCTGTGGGGAGCGGTAGTGTAGCGGTTAGCGCACTGCGCTATGAACCTGGCGACCCGGGTTCGATTCCTGCTCACGGCCAACACCAGTGACGATTATCTGAACCGGTCCCGGGCCTCCCCTAGGTCGACTCAGCCTCAAATGAGTACCTGGTGCGGTGTGTAAACATCGTCACTAGGGAGACAAAGGCGGTCGGGCGTGGTGCTGGCCACCCACCCCCTCGTGTACCGTTCCGGCCTTCATAGGTGCTCGCTAACAGCACTTGCCCCTACAGTCTGTTAAGGCTATACGGGGGATCTTTGTCTTTGTCTTTGTGTGAGACTTTGTCTTTGTGGCACGCGCCCCAATCGGCAGCCTCACGGTGACTCGGCACTTCTCCGGCCGTGCACGTGCATCCGACGTGAGGTCACAACAACAAGGCGAGGGAGTTTGGGACCGCCCATAAATGACGTCACGCACCTAGGTAGAGGGGTGGGGGGGGGTGTCAGACATTTGTGACGATGTGTGACGAGGAGGGTGGGAGGGGGGGGTTTGAGAAATGTGACGTCGCATCAAAATGCGCAACTTTAAATAAATAAAGACAACACGTTCTACTTAAATTTTGATTTAAAGCTTTCGTGACTGCAGTAATTCATATATAAAAAACAAGTTTTTTATTGTTTTTATATATTTTATTGTTTTCCTTCAACGTGACTTTACCGAAATAGCTAAGAATACGTTCTACTTAATTAAATACACTTTTAAATACATATTCTTGGTTCTTTCGGTAAAGTCACGTAGAAGGGAAACAATAAAATAATAATGATGATTGCTTGTATTGCAGTCGAAACGTCGTGAGAATTTTATTGTTTTATATTTTTATTATTTTATTGTTTCCCTTCTACGTGACTTTACCGAAAGAACCAAGAATATGAATCCCTGCAGTCACGAAAGCTTTAAGTCAACATTTTAATGCATGTTTTCTCCTACAACATCAGAGTGCAGCGCCACAATAACAATAGTTTAACGCGATTTGAAGCATGTTTTATTTACAATATGGAAATATGGTTTGGGGGGGGGGGCAGAGCTTTGTGACGTCATATTTGAGGGGGGGGGGGGTCTGACTTTTTGTGACGCCGTGTGACGAGGGGGGAGGGGGTCAAAAATCGTCCAAAATCGCGTGACGTCATTTATGGACGGCCCCTTTGTGTAAAAACGCGTGAACTTCTTTCGCGCCGTACGTAGCCAACCGTGCTTAATCGGAGGTGTCGAGGGTGGGAGAGAAGGACAACAAACGCCTGTGGCGTTATTACATCGACTGGATCGTCTGTGGGGGGGTTGGGGGACAGGGCCCCCCGTAGCTTCATCGGATTCCCTCCAGTCTACATAAAGAATCTGAAAAAAAAACCCAATATTGATTTAATATGCCGAGTAATGCACACGCCGAGAATGTCAATGCAACGTGAACGACATCTGTAAATGTGACAAGAAAGACCCATGGTCGTGTAACATTGCAACAGACCGTAACAGCACCGCCCTGTTACGTTAGCGAGCGATGTGTCACAACCGTGACTTGGCGTATTGTGGCCTGCCGATGTGGCAGCAGCTGCACAAGTAAAGTATCATATTCTTGGTTCTTTCGGTAAAGTCACGTAGAAGGGAAATAATAAAATAATAAAAATAAAACTATAAAATTCTCACGACGTTTCGATTGCAACACAAGCAATCATCATCGGGTGTGAAAACCACAGCAGTCACGAAAGCTTTCAATCGAAAAGTAAAGTATCTCCCCCAGGAAGAAGCATTCAACAATAATTGTATAACGTCCTCGTTGAAATAAATGTTCCAGAGAAAATTAATTGGCAGAAGGAGCTGTTGCCCGAGGGGAAATAAAACTTGCAAATGTTTTTACCTCTGTACGTACTGGCGATTTGACTGAATTTAATATCAAAAGCCACGACCAACGAGTTTCTCTATAATTTAGTGTCTCAAATGGCGTAGGAAACCAAACCCGACAAAAGCGATGTCGCTATCTCATGGCCAGTTACATAAAAAAAAACACCTTGAGCAACGCATTTCTGTTAACTGACACCGATTAAAATAGGAGTTAGTGGAATGTTACACTTAAAGTGTGTTTTTTTTGCAACTGACATCTAGGGCCTTAATCATGCACTTTTAAGAATAAAAATAATGTATTGCCCTGTTTTTGGATGGCAAGACATTCAGCATTCATTTACGTTTGGCTTCCGTGGGCGCATGTTTAATTTGTCTCAGAGCTTCAGTCGGCACTGGGATAATTACCGGAGCGTACTTTGCTCTTCGAACGAAAAGTACAGTGTGTAAACCAAGCCTTGGTCATTCCACTGCTGGATGCTCACAATGCCAAAGACCAAAAGGACAGACGTCGGGATACTGATAATAGATCTTAGAGGCCATGTGATGGCGGTAATGGATGTGCAATCTAGCATCAAGAAAGGACGCCATTAAATCTTGACTTAAAGCTTTCGTGACTGCAGGAATTCATATTCTTTGGGTCTTTCGGTAAAGTCAAACCTTTATAAACAGTTTTCCTTTAGAAGCTAACCCCCTCTTCCTGATGACGAACGCTTGTGTTGCGATCGAAACGTCGTGGTTTTTTGTTATTTTCTTTGAACCTATCTACGTGACTTTACCGAAAGACCCAAAGAAAAAGAACGCCATTGTGAGGAGTGTTGTCATCAATGGGATGTTCACGTTACATAAGCGTATGGAATGTTTAGGTTCATTACCCCCAACATCAGAATTGTGTAGTTAGAGTATGCCTTGGCGACAAAATGGCACTGAAGTTATGGGGCGACCTTCATGACAATTTGTTGACTGCATTGATGAGCTTGGATTAATTAAAGAAGAGTCGATATTTTTTTTCAAAGTTAGCTATGAAAAATATAATTGTGAATTTTACGGGGAAGCAGAGAGATTTTTACATATATATTTTATTTTTTATTTTCGTGTCATGCAGTTATACATATTCTGACTCAGCCTTCTAAACCTTGTGGAGGTTTCTAGAAATATCTGGGTTGCCACGTGCGCTCAAGCTTCCGGGAAAGTCACGAGAACTGCCTTGTACCGGCTTGAGCAGGTGCCCTCAATAATTAATCTTTGTTTTGTACAAAGACCGGAGATCAGAACACGCCCAAGGGGACTTTGCCCAGGGGTACACACCCTGCCATGGACCCCGCCCAGCGTTGTGTTTGATGTTTATTTATTTACCGTTGTTTACTTTGGACTTGAATATCTCTCTGAGACGTATTGGAGACACTGGTATGGCAAGCAAGAGCAGCTTACCGTGAATGCTATCGCGGGAAGTCACACGTTGGGCACAGCTGTCCTTCGCTGACTGTGAGCGATTGATGAATGAATGCCATCTAAAGTTAAAAAAGCACATCAGTAGAGAGTCCACCACACGAAGTCAGAGAGGCCACACTTTTCACGTCGTTTGGCGGACTCTCGACACGTCCATACCGTATATCGGACACTTGATGTTCATAACGAAAGCGTCATTGTTCACTGTTCTATGATTGCGTACCATGGCAATGTGTTAAGGAGATAAACGCTCAATTGCCGAGGTCTGATCGCCGCGAAGAGGGCTTCTGGAGATTTTGCTCTTCCTTATCTGTTGACAGCTCAACAATGTCAATGTGACTTACTGCCAGTAAGTGTACTCCGCTGTACTTTTTTTTTAAAGTCAGGTATGCAATGAGCAGCAGCAGTAATTCATGTCTGGAAGTAAAATAATTAATATATTTTTTTTTACTTTAAAAAAAATATATTCATTATTCACTTTTTTTAAACACGCTTTAATGAAATGTACCGTGCTAGTAATGGAAGAACTCCACGACTCCAGGAAGTGGCCCCGAAGCTTGCCACAACGTGGCCAATTACAGCCAACGTGAGTTGACCGTGGACAATTAGACCCAAGCAGAAACATAACATGTAAAAATGAATCTTTAAATATATATATTTTTTATGATAGAATATAGTATTGTCATCAGTATGACATACGTATACCAAGTTTGCAGTCGATACCACAATGGGAAGCGGGTTAAAATTGAGTTACAAGATTTGAGGATACAAAAACAGAGTGAGTTAATAAAAAAAGCGTGTAATAACAATCTGTCCAATGTCGATTTGCTCTCAAACGTTGTTAGCTTCGTCCAAGAAGATCATAGCCACGAAGTTGTAGACAGCTTTCAAGAAGTCCCGCAAGACGAGCTGCGGGTTCAGAATCATCTCCTTCATCCTCACAATTGTAAAACGTCAACCTGTTTTGCCCTCTCGATTTATAATCACGATTTTTACCGTGATGTGTGTTTAAAATAAAAAAAATCATTTGTGTTAACGACCATCAATCATAAATCACCACTTTTATTATCACCGTCGTTATCATTCCCATCATCTTCATGGGAATGATGGTGAGATAGTTCGTAGGTTCAGATGCCTGTAGATTTGGAGTTTGCGTGTCTCTCTCTTTCTTTGCGGTCGGGTGGATTTTTCTCCCCGGTTGTGGACATTACATTGGTCAAATAAAGATAGTTCACAGTTTAGTTTTATGCTCATCATCAACCATTGTTTATTATAGTCGTCATAAATCATCATGTTTGTCATCGTCTCGTTCATCATCCTGCCACTTCGTTGAGCTATCATTTGTGGCCAGGTCGCTTCTGAAAAAGTACGCATACTGTAGCTCAGTGGGCTTTACCTGGTCAAATAATAATAATAAATGTTGTGTGATTTGCTTACCATTTATATAGTGCTTTTTGCACTCCTATCGTGTTTTTTTTAAAGTATTGTTTGTTGTTGTAATTTTCTCAACCGCCCCTCATGGATATCTGCGCAAATAAAAAAAAGAGAGAAAGAGCTTCGCAGCTCATCGGATTTCTCCAGAATAAATCGAGGTTCCTATTCCGATTATGTCAACAAACCACTTGGTCGATTCTACTACAAAGCTCGCCACCCCCCCACACACACAAAGGAATACGTGGAATCGATAAACGACAGGAATCGGTTTAAAATGAAATCGTTACAATGAATCGAATCGAAGGGTGGGCAGGGCCCCACAGCGTTCAATTCCGGGTGGCGGGCGCGTTCGAGTCGGAGTTTTGGCGGGAAGTCGCGCAGGGTAACGCGGACTTTAACTTTAATTCGCTAATTATAAAGATCAACTAAATCCACCTCTGACCCGTCACCCGCTTGCGAGTACACGACGCGCTATTTTATGGGGCGGCGGAACTGACTTTCTAAAGTGTGTATAGTTTAATGTTTATTGTTGTTGAGTCGTTGCTTAAAACGCCTGTTGTGTGTTCGCGTGAGCGGGAAGCAACTCTTTACGGCGTTAACGCTTCACCCCGCGTGTTTTCTATAAATTAACGAAAACTTACGAGGTATAATTCATGACCCGTCAACCCATACGGTTCGCCCCGTGTTTCTTGTACGGGGAAATTAAGATATCGGGTCTATACGGCGTACAGTCGTGTCAATACGGGCAAACAAAACGTTTGTGTTTCTCCCTTGTGATGGGGAAGTTTGTAGGATGAACGCTGATATTTATAAGGGGCACGGGGTGACCAATGAGGTATGAATTAGTCAGGTAGGCACTGATAAAAGGGGGTTGACAAGCTATGTAGATTTAAACAGAGGGATTAACAAACACTTAGAGGAAGTCACAACCCAAGAACACACATTTGTAGAAGATGTCATCACGCCGCGTGTATCCCTTGTCTGTCCAACGTGTGAAGATTAATTTTGGTGAAGAAAAAAACAACTTTATGCTCAAAATGTCCAGCCCGAGACATTTTGCCTTATTGAAACATCTGGGAGTGATGTGACTATAAAGTGTCACAATGACACGCTTGAGCCTTGGCATTTTGCCTGCGTTCTCAGTGACCAAGGTTCAAAACTCTGTTCAGTCAAACTGGAACACGCACACACAGCTCCGGTATCTACAAGTTAAGAACTTTTACTTAAAAGCTTTCGTGACTGCAGGAATACATATCCCATGGGTCTTTCGGTAAAGCCACGTAGATAGAAAAATAAATAAATCGCGACGTTTCGATCGCAACACAAGCAATCGTCATCAGGTGAGAGGATACGTCATCGGAACTCACCTGAAGACGATTGCTTGCGTTGCGATCGTCTTCAGGTGAGAGGATACGTCATCGGAACTCACCTGAAGACGATTGCTTGCATTGCGATCGTCTTCAGGTGAGAGGATACGTCATCGGAACTCACCTGAAGACGATTGCTTGCGTTGCGATCATCTTGAGGTGAGAGGATACGTCATCGGATCTCACCTGAAGACGATTGCTTGCGTTGCGATCAAAACGTGATATTTTTTTTATTATTTTTCTATCTACGTGGCTTTACGGAAAGACCCATAGAATAAGTTAAGAACTGCTTGTTTGGGTCGCGTCTTTAAGGGCCCACCACTCGTGCTCCAATAAATGTTGATTGAAAACTAATTTATTTAGAACTGCTTTTTTGTGTTTAGTTCTTCCCCCGCGCCTCCGAGTAGCACGGTTCGATACGTACAGTGCGAAAGAAGTTCGACATAGACTGAGCTGCAAAGCGGAGGAAGTGTTACTGCTGCACTTTGAGAAAGAGAGACAGAGGGATAAGGGAAGACAATGAAACAGAGATGCTAAGAGAGATGAGACGCAGAAACAGGGAGAAAAAGATAGACAGAAACAGAAATACAGAGACATTTGCCAGTATATTGAAAAGCTATATAAAAATGCTATTCAGTTTAAAACTCAGATTTGCAAAGTATCCAAAGTATTTTGCTATTTGGTTGAATAGTAAAAAGTGCTATATAGCAGTTTGTCTGGTGTATGCATTTCTACACGCTTTCATTTAACTTGCTCTGTCTGTTGTCGTATCCTCAAATTTTGTAACTCAATTTAAACCCACTTGCCAATGTGGTATCGACTGCAAACTTGGTATACTTATGTCATACTGATGACGATACAATATTCTATAATAAAAAAAATATATATTTTTAAGCAATCTTTTTAATATGTTATGTTTCGGCTTGGGTCTAATTGTCCACGGTCAACTGACGTTTGGCTGTAATTGCCCACGGTCCCCTTACGTTGTGGCAAGCTTCGGGGCCACTTCCTGGAGTCGTGGAGTTCTTCCATTACTAGTACATTTCATAAAAGCGTGTTTAAAAAAAACAAGTTTTGTTTTATATATATGTTACTTATTTTGATTACCAGGAGGCACACTGGACTCTGGAGGCATTGAATGAACAGCGCACAAGTAACCTTGGAAAATGAACCCGGAGACTGCGGCGGAAAGCAAGAGAAAGAAGCACACGGCCAGCTTCTCAGGTGCTCGCGCATTTCTTGCGGCGGTGTTGAGGCGCTCGCATGTGTGTTCACACCAAGATCACCAGCATGGTAAAGTCTGTCACGGCACGAGTCCCTCGGTTAACGTTTTTAATCCGTTCCACGGAAACTACTGTTAATCGTAGTAACTTTTAATCGAATATGGGAATTACATGTTAAAAGCATTTATCCGTTCCAAGACGATTGGAAGTTGACCTTTTGGACCCTAAAAACATAGCTTATGACATTTAAACACTTAATAAATAAGCATGATAAGAACATGTAAAATAATGCTTTATTTTACGCCGAATTGCTTTCCTACCCTTACGCGAATTAACTTGAGGGGCCATTGCAATCACTATGAATTCACTTACAAGTTGAAAAACAAGTAAAAATCACTGAGTCTGCACAAGAGAAACAGACGGCTTCCACTGCCAAAACAGAAAATGTAATTTTTCGATTTAAAGCTTTCGTGACTGCAGGGATTCATATTCTTGGTTCTTTTGGTAAAATCACGTAGAAGGGAAATAATACAATAATACAAATAAAACAATATAATTATCACGACGTTTCGATTGCAACACAAGCAATCATCATCAGGTGTGGAAACCACAGCAAGAAAAAAATGTCATTGCTCAAAAAAAATTCTTGCTGTGGTTTTCACACCTGATGATGATTGCTTGTGTTGCAATAGAAACGTCGTGAGAATTTGATTGTCTTATTTTATTATTTCCCTTCTACGTGACTTTACCGAAAGAACCAAGAATAAGAAAACTTAATGTAAACAAAGCCAGTCCGAGGTCGAAACGCTCATAAATGGGCGTCGCTGATTGGCTGAGGGTGTGGCTCTGCCCCGCTTACGAGCCCTCGGATTGGCCGAAAGTGGCCCCCGCGTGCATATAACGTAAACGTACCGTTAGTCAAAATGCTAATGTTCGTCGGAACCATGGGGTCCTATGGGAGGCGAAACGTTCACCGAAAAACCGTTAACCGATGTCACTGTTAACCGAGGGACTCCTGTGTGTGTTTGACGAGGTTTAAAACTTGCTGATACATACACATTCTTATTCTGCATCTCTCTTCGACTATGGAATTCCTCCCATTGTCTGTTTCCCTAAGTTCTTACAACTTTGTTCTCGTAAAAAAACACGTCAACTGTTATCTGTAACACTTTCAGTTATACTGTTTGTTACCGGCTGCTTGGGGTTTTCAGGCCTTTAGGACTGTGCTCAGCAGTCATGATTTTAAAAAGTACACGTTAAGTATCAAGTACACCATTCCTGGCTGCAATGCAATGGACAAAACTGGCTCGGAAATGCTTTCTGCACGATTTCCTCGAAATATTCTAGACGGGAAAAACGTTGTTTTGCTTGTCTGCTAGAATCATAAACGGACATCAAACTCTGACCTAGTACAAGACTGAAAACAACGTTAAAAAAGTCCACTGTATGCTTTCGACATTGCTCAATAGTTGCACATGACTCGTCCACGTGCACTTGTGTACACAACCCAGTCAGTTTTTTTTTAAACATTCAACATGGGAACCAGTATAGGGTGCAAATAGTTCTTATCTCTGTCGCCAGCCCTGGGGCAGTGAAGCAAATCGTGCATTTCAGTGGGTGAATCATTTTCAGTGGCGGAACAAGAACGGCTGGCTTTGCCACGAACTATTACTCATTTTTTCAACCGATGAGGGCATATTTGGCTACGTTAGCCCTTGAAACGCTCAACATTCGTAAGTTGAGTCCTAAAACCACAGTGCCTCCTGGCTGGACTAGACATAAAGTCAGGTTCAAGTTTGTTTTGTTTCACAAGGTGACCTCGGTTATTACAATGACGCAAGGAGGAAAAAAAAGTATAGCAAATATAATTCGGTGCAAAAAACAACCACGGTACAGAAGGAATCGAACACAGTGCACACACATACATAAACCATGGCTCACAGGGCTATACCAAAATAAATAAACTAAACTAACCAATCTGAAATACCGAAGCATTAACAAGAGCCTTGTAAACTGTCATAAACTGGAAATGTGTAAGAGGAGGATTACATTTTTACGGTTCCTAATTTTTGTAAAATTAATCCCTTTCTCTTACCGACCTGTCACACTCTTTGACCACAACACAAATTGAACGTTGTCCAATGCACACAAAGGATGTGTGCAGACGTGCAAAGTGCTGACAGCGACCAGAACAATACGCTTCTGCTGTGTTGTTTAACAGTCAGCAGACTACTTATTGCTGAAAAAATGTCGTGTCTGTCTGCCCGCCGGATGCTTCATTTGTTTGTGTTAAAACTAAAAAAAAACCCTAAACCAATTGTTACGCAACTTGCCGCACAGCATGCCAATACCAATGCGCAGATGTGTTTTGCTTGAGACAGATTGGAATCGAAATACTTCAGTGTAAAACAATGTTTTAAATAAATGAATGTTTGGATTTCTTTTGTTTTTCAGATGTTAAAACAGAAATTGAACAACTGTATGCAGCAATCCCTTTGCTCAGAAACTTCAATATTATTAGAAAAATTGGAGAAGGTTGGTGCATCTTTCTGCTAAAAATTATTTATAGAAAACAAAAAAAATCAACATATTCAGTGCGTTGAATGTTTTATGAAATAATATATATTTTAAATCGCATTCTAGTTAACTGTTAAATAGCGAATATAAACCGTTTGAAAGCATTGAATCACCTTGGTTTCTAGTATTTAATGTCTTTTGAAATACTCATACAATTCAGTGACATTCCGTCAATCCACCCTCCTATTATCAACTCTCCCTAATATTCCATCCCCCAAATTAATCGGTGGGTTTTCCTATTATCTGAGTGATTATATTACTTGCAGATGAGAGAAGTAACTGTTAAGTGGCAGAAAATGAATCCTAATATACGTGCTTGAAAGGCGCTGATTGTGCACACAGCTTCTCGGTAGTGGTCTTCATAGTCTTGGTGGTGGTCATGGTGGTCTAAATGTTGGTCCCTATGGTGGTCCTAGCGGTTCTGGGCTTACAAGCTGTGCTCCCAGTAGTCCTGGTGTGCCCTCTGGTAGTCCCGATTTTCGAGTGCTCCCAATATTTCCAGTTTTATTTGTATTCCTGATTGGCCGAAGGTAGTGACAATCAAAGTAATGGCACTGCACACGTAGTCACCCTGTGATACGTGGATAAAAAAAAATCACTCGAGACACTGGTGTATGGCAGCAAGAGCAGCTTATACGAATTCTGTCGCAGAAGGTCACACGTTTGGCACAACAGTCCTTCGCTGACCCTGCGTAATGAATGAATGAAGTGACAATCATGATGCTCGATCATCAAGCGACGCTTTACATCCTCTCGAGAGTCAGCATCACACACCTGGATGTTTGTGGAAAATTAATCAGATTGTTGGGCGTTTACCCCTGCTTCTCCACCTGTCATGTCAGTGTGGCTAAGAGGCGTTTCACTTTCTATAATTTTATTTTATCGCAGGCACTTTTAGTAGTGTCTACATGGCAAAAGGGAAGGTGCGAAGATCTGGTGGTGAAGAAGAAATGCTGGCTGTTAAATACCTCATTCCCACCAGCCATCCACTCCGCATCGCCGCCGAGGTCCAGTGTCTCATGGAAGCAGGGTACGAGCATCTTTCTAAATTCAAGTAATACAATTCAACATGAATAGCTGAGACGTTCCAGTGCTTATTAATGTAAGTGCAGTTTAAAAGTGACTTGGAATAGTTCATAGCATTTTCATTGCATTTTAGTATTTGCATGATCATATAAATTTATTGTTTACCAGATTTTGATAACATTGCAAAAACACGTGCTGTCTTAGTGTAATGTGGGTAATAAATAAATTATTTTAAAAAGTAGCCAAGGGTTTGTTTTACCACGAGTCAAATAACATCTATAACCATCAGCCAATGAGACTTCTGGGGAGTCATTCTCGCAGTGTTGCTTTAAACCGCGAAACTCGGGCACCAAACAAACTTCCCCATCCGACGAGCACCAGATTGTATTGTATATGTGACATGATGTGTTACGTATGTGCCAGTCGACACCCTGGACACCTTTGCAAGTAAGATGTTCCATCGAAAGGGATTTTCAAGGGTTAATACCTTCATAAATCTATGTATGTACGTATGTTAAACTTCTTTCGACATCGTACGTAGCCAACTGTGCTAATTGGAGGTGCGGGGGAAGGACAACAAACTAAACACAAAAAGCAGTGTTTAGTTTGTCAAGCTTCCTTAGCACGGTTGGCTACATACGGTGCGAAAGAAGTTCAGCGTGCATACAAATTAGATGGGGTCAAATTTATAATGTTCCATCTCCGTAGTGCTGAGTGACTGAAGCGGCTGATACCACACCATTATTGTAAGAAAGCAGGGCCTTGCGAGAAACTCGTGGGACGTATGAGTCAGGCCCACTTTATGACTGGGAATGGAGGTAAAGTGAGCATTTTATCTTAAAAAAAAATCTTCATTTGTTATTGAGTAACGGATTTGGTTGTCTGCATTATAATGAAACAAAACTGCCAATATGCAATTTGCACTGGTGGAAATGTCATATTCCCATGGCATGATCAATCTGCCGACTTTTATCTCTCACAAAGTAGTACGGATTTTATGGGCCAACCAGAGCTGATTAGTTTAACTGACCGACGGCCCTGCGGTAATGGTGACAGTGACACGAGGCAGTAAATGTATACGAAATTATATTTTTCACGAAGCTTACCTTTTTATTTGCAGAGGTGTTGACAATGTGATGGAAGTGCTGCAGTGTCTCAGAAACAAGGACCATGTGGTGATCATAATGCCCTACCTGGAACACGAGGTGTTCTCAGTAAGTTAAACCTATTTGTTGCTCATGTTCGGCTTCGAAGATGCAGATGTTGTTCAAATGTGATGTTTATTGCTTGCTGCCGCGTTGTTTGGCCCTAAACAGGACCATTGGCGTGGCTTGTGTTGTTGCTCTGAAGACCGGGAGATCGGTGATTGATGTTCGGTCGCCGCGTCGATGGCATTAGTCGTGATTTCTCGCTTAACAGAGTGGGCCTGCGCAAAGGCTGCCATCTTCCACTGCCAAAATTGTCATCGTTTCCATTTTCAATGTTTACTGCAATTGTACTACTTGCTACACTGTCACATGCCAATTGCTCAATACTGACTGGACGTCTTGGTTATATTGAGTCAACATAATTTCAGTTTATTAAGTGTTTTCTGTTAAGACAATAAAGAATGCATTCAAGACCAACAGTTCAGTTGTTGCAGTATTCCCAAGTCAAACCCTCTTGTCTTCAACATGGGCACTTATCCTGTGTTGGAAATTCCACATTCCCATAGTCGTGCCATACCTTGGGACAATGATTGCTCATTTCCCATAAATAAGGACCATGGAGATGCCGGTGCAGGGAAGAAGGAGTAGAGGGAGACTGAGGGTAAGATGAAAGGATTAGGTGGAATGAGACATGAGAATTGTGGATGTGACTCGAAACGATGGACACAATTTGAAGTACATGGAGAAAAAAAATAAAAGGAGTTGAACCTTAGACAGAAATGGGATATTGTGCTTAAATATCTTGCCGCGGTGGTCAGATGTTAATTATCTCGCCTGGTATGCAGGAGGTCGTGGGTTTGATCCCAACCCTGACGCCTGAATATTTGGAGTTTGCATGTTCTCCCTGTGGTCGTGTGGATTTTTCTCCTGGTCCTCTGGTTTTCCCCACCACATTTAGAAACATGCGTTTATAGTATTTGGCTGCTATAAATTTCCACATTGTAAGCTACTTCGTTGAATGATCACTTTTGGCCACATCGCTTCTGAAAAAGAGCTAAATAGCTCAGTGCGCCTTACCTGATAAAATAAATTGTAAAAATAATTTATCCCCTCCTGTGCAGCGCTCCTTCTTTCTTCTCCCTGCCGCTCATCTTGAGCCGTGCCCTCTTCGTTCGCTCTTGGAGACTTCCGTCCCGGCATCCTTTCCCTCAACGAAGTGGCGGCTTATCATCATCAGTTTGATAAGGAGAATAATAAAGTGCCACTCATACTGTCATCCCTGGAGGATCGGCAAAATTGACCTCAAGTCAGGATTGAGATTGAACCGGCCCGCGACTGAGCCACCACCTGGCCAGATCTCAATGGGTGTTCTTCATTGCCCAATGTTTTCTCACTCCTCTCCTCTGTTAACGTCCCTCTCCCATTTCCACAGGAGGTCGTTTCTGTGATGAACGTGATGGAGGTGCGGGAGTACATGAGAAACCTCCTGGTCTCACTGCTGCGCATACACAAGCTTGGGATTATTCATCGCGATGTCAAGCCCAGCAACTTCCTGTACTGCAGAAAACAACAACGGTATTTGGCCATTTCCACTGTCGTACTTTACATCTTTCTTCCCACGTCTATGCTCCCTGCACCTCCGATTAACACGGTTGGCTACGTACGGTGCGAAATTAATTAGCGTTGTGAAGTATGAGGAGGCCCTCATCCAGCAGTGAGTTGACAAAAAGTCTGTACATACGTACAACAGCTTCAGGTAATAATGTCATCCGTATTGGTAAATATGTTCATAAGGTCTTGTTTTAATTACATATCTGTTTTCTGAAACTATAATATAGAAATGTATTTACGTAAGATTACACTGCTGGATTGATAAATTGTAGTTTAAGAGAAAAATGTACTTAAAGTAACTTATTTTCAGCTAATTCTGAGAACAGTGATGCGTAGTCATATCATTAGTATTGTCTAATTTCAAAATAGAATCACACACTACCCACTGTTTCAGAGAAATATAATGGGATTACACGTGACATTTACAGATCACAAAACACTCCAATTATTATTGGTTGTGTGGTTTAATTGACACGTAGTTCTTCTCAGCCAATATAAGGATTGCTCTTTAACTTACTGGAGAACTGAAACAATAATATATGGCTGATAAAACGATTTTGTTTGACTTTGCCGAGTTTCGGAGGGTCTTACAGACACAGATTTGGTCAGACCATTACGTGGCCTAACCCAAAAGTCAATTATGCTGACAACTGTTCAGTCATGCGGAACTGTGCATGATTTTAATGCTTATGTTATTGCTTTGAGGACTTTAGATTTGTTGAAGATGATATACACGTTCCTCAGCAGCTCTCTGTTCAAACATGTAGAGACACGAAGTTAAGACAGTTTTTTGTTGTAAAATTGTTATTGTATCACAATGCAAGTCACTTCGAAGTAAAAAGCAGTATGTTTTAACTTGCGGAGAGGTGAAATTGTCTCTCTGAATGAAACCCACTTGCTTCCCATATGTAAAAATGTACATAATTCCTGGCAGCTGTTGTTGCAGCAAACAAATTGATCTTTGCCGTTCATTGTCACGTGCATACAGCGATGTAAGCCAACAAAAACATGTTGCTATTAATTATGAATAATATGGCTGGAGTGATGCTGTTGCGTGGTGATGATTCTGGAATCAAATCTTTAGCCGCCTGCTGTTGAAAAGCATGTCGATTATCTTAAACACATCTCAAGTAATTTGATTCTTGAACCCAATTGTTTTTTTTCTCCCATTATTGCCAATGGGAGTGAATTTTTAATTTTTTATTAGATTTTTTTAATCAACTGCGGCTGAAAACATTAATGCATTAGCTCTTGTCTCGTAAAGTTGATTGGTTATCAATTGTTGTGATTCTATTAGGGACTTAACCTTTGGGACGAATTTACCAGGGTTGACCTAAAACTGCAATAAATGTGAAAAAGCTTTCCCATGGCAATGACTTCACATGCCATGCACCTGTCTGATGACATTATGAATATAGTACTTTATATTGAATCTTTATTTTTTTAAATGCTTAAAAAGGGGTATGCGTGTGACACGTGTGTTACACAGGTGACATGTGCAGGTTCATAGAGAGAGGTGTGCAGAGGGATGAATGTGGACTCACAATATTAATGTTTTAAATAAATGGTCTCGAGATTGGCTTTGCCAAGAAGGATCGCTCCTGCCTTGGCAAAAACCAATGGAGAAGGACAGAGAGTGATCTGGAAAGGATTAAATGGTGCTTTGAAACTTACAAACAGCATCCATGATCATGCAGTCTTATCATCAGATAGCCCGTAGGTGTCCACCGCACATTTGGTCATTTGTTTTCACTTTCCTCTGTCTTGTGCCAATATGCTCAAGTCATGCAACATCTTTCTGGTACCATTCTCTTATGTCGTCGTCAAACCATTCTCTGTTGGGTCTTCCTCTCTTTCCGGTTCCTTCCATTTTTCCGAAGAACACACTTTTAATTTTAGTGTTGTAGTCCATTATACATATGTGTACAAATAGTGCCAGTTTCCTTCTCATCACTAGCTGCATGAGGTCTTCTTCTATGTGCCACCTTTTTCTTCTATATTGGTCACTCTTTGTGTCCAACTTAGATGCAGCATCGTTCTGTAGAAATACATTTCGAGTGGCAATATCCTATCTCTGTCAGTCTGAATGAAGAGTCTAAGCTAGACAAAAAACAAAGACCGTTAGGAAGTATGCAGAGCTTGCCTACTTCAGCTTGTTGTTTTAATCATTGGTATGATTGTTTGGCTACCTTAGGTATGCGCTAGTCGACTTTGGACTGGCACAAGGAACGCCGGATACTTGCATCCCGTTGCTGCGGAGGCTGCAGGAGACCGTTGGTCTGAGCGGAAGCATTTATCAGAAGAGGGCCAGCGCACGTCTCACAAAAGCCAACAACATCACCACCACCACCACCATGCAGAAGCAGGGCAAGAGCGCTCAGCTGATGAAGTCATCGGTGAACTGCAACGAGGAGGTAGCATGACTACGCGTAGATGGGAGGTTCCGACCGTCAACCCCTGCTGAGAGGTTTACTTTCAACGAGTCCCCAAGTTTATTTACAGCCAGGTGACAGTCGATTGGGAAAAGTGAGCCATTTGTTGACGGGGGAGAGGTAAGTATTAAGGGAAAATGCAGGAGTACATTGATTTCAGGGAAGCCTCTTCTTCTCTGCCTCAATGTTGCATTTGGATACCTGGCAACCCCTTATCAGTGCCTACCTTATTACAGACAAATTCAGACCTTAATGGTCACTCCACGCCCTTATAAATATCAACGTTCATTCTACAAAGTCCCATCACAAGGGAGAAACAATATATATTTTTACTCAGTTTCCCTGTACAAGAAAATGGGTAAACCGCCTGGGTTGACAGGTATGCACTTGTGTCACGGAGCACAGCAAATCAAAACATGTACTATCTGTAGTAGCCACGGGACATACCCTACCCACTTGCGCATGTTGTTAGACACGTTATAAACATATAAATATCCTCCCTATAGCCTCTTTAGGTACTGTTGGGGTAAATACAACGAGCGGGTATTCATTAAGGCCCGCACAGCACACCTTGGGAGGTTTGTGGGGCCACCACCATGCACGGCTTTCCTTGGTCTTCAAAGTGATGATGTTTACACAATGCACCAGGTACTCATTTAAGCCTGGGCCAACCTATGGGAGACCCACAATTGGTATGGCGATCACGAACCACTGGTGTTATCTTTGGCTGGGACTTGAATGCATAGTATATAGGCTTTTGTAACGTGGTGCACTCACTACTGTTCCACTGTTAAATGTGGTTTTCGTGAACAACAGCAACATTACAATGAAAAACTATTATTTACCATACAACAACATGAACTTGTATTGTCTGAATCACCAGTCTTAAAGTAATTGATGCCACATTTTTGGGGCTTGCAAGTACTGCCATCTTGCAAGAGTTAATTTTAAAATACAGGTGATAATAAGGTGTCTGTTGAGGTGGCTGGGTGGGTCGGAGGTCAAGGCACCGAGTTTGCCCTTCTGAGGTCCTGGAATTGTATTTGGGCGTTTGTGATTAAACCAATGGATTTTTCATCTCATGACATAATGCCAAAAGCACAATTGCTTTGCTTCGGCGCTATGGTATTGAACCACAATACCTTGCTGATCTTGTCAAGGAGCATAAACTATCATGCGAACTCCGGTCATCCTCGCAGCAGCATTTGACTAGCCATTGAACAAAGACGGTCACTGCATCGCGCGCTTTCAGATGCACTTCTGCGGCCATCTGAAATGCTTTTGCTTCCTATATTAGGAAGCCACTGGAGCTATGCACTTTTAAATCTAGATTGAAAAGTAATTTCCTTAGAACTGCTTTTTGTGTTTAGTTTGTTGTCGTTTCCCCCGCACCTCCAGTTACCATGGTTGGCTACGTACGATGCGAAAGAAGTTCAACATACATACATGGTCTGGATAGAAAAAGGTTGCAATCTATTTATACAATGAGCCACGTGAATTTGTCTGATAGGTGAATAATTGCTTTCATATTCTTTTGCGTGCTTGTTTAGTGCAAAGGAAGTAAGCTAACGAATGGCGCTCCACACGTAGCTGCGATGACGGCCAAGAAAGCTGTGGCTCCCCCCAATGCCATGCCTCGATGTGCGTTGCAAGAAAAGACTTGCTCCTGTTTCGGGTATGATCAGGTCTGCAAGCTCTGCTTGGCCAGGTATGTTCTTCGATTTTTGTGCGTGTGTGTGTGCTGTGAAGTTTCAAGAATGGCACTATACTATTATATTACCTCAATCTTAAGTTATTTCAGTCCCCGGTGAGAATCAATAATTTGGCCACCTCCGCAGCTTTGTCGTCGTGGAGGTGGCTCAGCTCTCCGATCTCACATTGACATGCAAATTTCTTCACTAGCCCCGCCCACTTCGCTTATGACCCTTGGGCTACACCCATCTCAAACCTTTATAACATCCTGCCTCAGCAGCTCTCTCGCTATTTTTTCACCTGATGACGATTGCTTGTGTTGCGATCGAAACGTCGTGATATATGTCTTTTTTTTCTATCTATGTTGGGTTTACCGAAAGACGCAAAGAATATGAATTCCTGCAGTCACGAAAGCTTTAAGTCAAGATTTAGTCCATACTATGTTTTATAACTGCGCCGTGTTACAATCAAACGAGGGAAATTAGTCAAAAGGCGTTAAGGTTTACTTGAAGTCGGATGAGAGCCCATTCAGAAATCAAACGCGGGATTCATGTGTTGACAGGAAACACCTTTCTGGAAGAAAATAGTGGCGAATTAGATTTTTTTTCCAGACATCGGTGGGAAATAACATTCGTCCTTTTTGATTTATCAATATTAATTGAATCGATGAAAAACCCATTGTTTAAATTCTTTAACCAAGGTGATTCACAGCAACAATATATTTTCTGAAATATTTCATTGTAGAAACGGAGGCAGAGATTAATGGAGAAAACGCCAACCATATAATATTTGCCATTTTAACTTCCCGTGGGGAATGGATGCAAAGGGAGAACCGAGGTTTTCTTTGACATTTCGAAGAACGTAACAAGGCCGTTAAGTTGGGCTCGGGATAAATATGAGCAAAACAACGGTCGTGCACAACAGGATAGCCAAACAATTGGAGATGCCTATCATAGGGTTTGTCAACGTAAGCCACTGCCATTCTATGGATAGTCTTAAGTGCACGGTGATAACGTTTCCAAATTAGTGTTAATCACTTGGAAAATGTTGAATGACTTAATGTTATCTTTGGCTGGGAGCTGCCCCGGTGGCGAGATGTTAACTACCTCGCCTGGTATGCAGGAGGTCGTGGGTCCGATCCCGACCCTGACGCCTGCTGTATATTTGGAGTTTGCATGTTCTCCCCGTGGTCACGTGGATTTTTCTCTGGGTCATCCGGTTTTTCCCTCCGCATTTAGAATCAACGTGCGTTTAGAGTATTTGGATGTAATACATTTCCACGTGATAAGTTGCTTCATTGGGTTATGATTTGTGGCCAGGTCGCTTCTGAAAAAGAGCTATATAGCTCATTCGCCCTTACCTGGTAAAATACAAATAATTTAGTTAGTGTTATGTTCAACCTATGTATGGTCCATCTTTGTTCTAGTGATGCCTCTTTTTTTCATTAAAAGTTAACGTGCTAATTTTAACCCACTCAAAAATGTTCGGTTCTTGCGAGCCACCCTGATAGGATGTATGTTTTGTTTTCAGAAGCCCACAGCCGTCTCCGCGGGCTGGTACGCCTGGGTTCCGAGCCCCAGAGGTTCTACTGAAGTGGCCATATCAAACCACAGGTGCCACACATTTGACCATAGAATCAATCGGTCAATGCTCGGTATTTATTGCAGGTGATGCGTGAATTATATTTTTGACTGTACTGTTCTGCACACATAAGGGAAATTCAACAAAGGTGTAAAAGTTATGATTCTTAGCTCTCAATTTTTGGGGGTTCCAAGACAAATGTTGGTTTTAATTTGTTTTCTCTCACTGTAAATGTGCCAAATGTCCCCTTTCTAGCCCTCGTAGTACAATTTTCTTTACTTATGACCGTTGGATATCAGATGCCAGCACCGACAGCTCATGCTGCCCTCTAGTGGCGGTATCCCAGCATAACTCTTATCTGTATAAAATCTTATTGAGCATGTACTGTTGATATGCATATACAAAATCACACGATATACACGTTCTTCCAGTCTTCATAACTGTTACAATGTCAAGTTAATGTTAACCTGCACATAGTTATTTGTCAGAATAACATGTACATACCATATGTTTGCTTATACAACAACAGGGCCAAACAATGTTTCTACTTGTTGCCACATTATTGGTCATTATATATGGCAAATATGATAGAATTGCACTATTGTATGTGGTATTGGAGTGTCTACATATTATCAACAACGTAAGAATATTACCAGCACTTATAACGGCTATGTCAATTTCTAAGATTTGGTCAAATTATTTTTGGTTCTGTGCATATTCACGGCAGTGTTCGCTGCTGCTTTTTATTCTGCTATCACTTGGCTGGGGCCACGCTACTGGGACTTCATATTTGAAGTGGCCCCCCCGATAGTCGTCGTACTTTATATTCAATGTCAAGCCAAGGGTAAACCCTTCGGGGCTGATACCGAGCAGGAGTTGCTTTTTTTCCCTCCCTGGTGTGTTTGTGACCTTAAACACTGTCGTGTGTGAGATCGCAGCCATTGACATTTGGTCGACGGGCATTATATTCCTCTGCCTCCTGAGCGGCCGTTACCCCTTCTTCAAGACCAGCGACGACCTCACTGCGCTGGCTCAAATCATCGCGTTGCGCGGAAGCGCGGAGGTGGCTGCTGCTGCTAAAGCTTGCGGTTAGTAATGAAAACTATTGACAAATTTGTTTTATTTTTACCAGGTCAGGCCACATTGAGCTATATAGCTCTTTTTTTAGAAGCGACCTACGCCACACAAGTGATAGCTCAACGAAGTGGCTTTATCACGTGGAAATGTACAGCAGGCAATTACTCTAAACGCATGTTGATTACTAAATGTGGAGGGAAAAACTGGAGGACCCGGAGAAAAATCCATGTGACCCTGGGAAGAACAGGCAAACTCCAAATATACAGGTGTCAGGGTTGGGATTTAACTCACGATCTCCTGTATACCAGGCGAGGTAGTTAACATCTTGCCACAGATATTTCTTTTTATCCTCGAGATGGACAAACGGATTGTTGAGTGGGTAACTTGTGTGCTGCAGGCAGCCTTGTTGCCCAGTAAAAAAAAAAGGTCACAATAAATATTGCTGGTGGATGTTTCTTTAAATGCACATTTCATAAATATCTTATTAAACTAAGCAGCGCATGATGACTTGACATTGCATTTGCAAATCTTTGGGTTGACTTAAATTAGCATATCAAATGTCACGAGACCACCAAGTAGACTTTTTCATTATTTAAAACACATTTCACTTTTGTTTACCAGCCTGCACGTGGGGCTATGTCCTACGCAGCAGAGAGAAGTGTAACAAAATACATTGTTGCACTGTACTTCTTTGCTCCCTTGTCTGTATTCCCTGCCTTCACAAACCCGCACTGAACAGTGGTGATGTGTGATTCACATAACATCCGTGATGCTGGATTGACAAACGGGGGATGTACATATGGCAACCCACGCATTATACAAAAAATAAATGTGTGAAAAAATAAAAATAGGTTTGAACCTTTCTGGCGATAAAATAGGTGTTAAGATGTTTAAACACCAAATAGAAACCTTTTTCAAGGAATGAAGTCTACCTATGGTGAACATGCAAACAAGCATGTTCTTATAATATATGGCATTGTCTTTGAAACTGATTGGCCTACACCAGAGGCAGCCTTCTTTAGGGCATAGTCTCACCATTGTCAGACCATAGAACGCCAAAAGGCGAACAATAATGTGGCACACTCGGGCATTTTTGAATTTCTGAACGCTTAACATCAATGAAACAAGCAACCGAACAATTTAAAAAATCAGAAGCTACAGTTTTAAAGCTCCCTCCTTCCCCCCAAGCTGTGCACTGAATTTTTAAAATGAAATGTATACAATCCTATTGGAGCTTATCTTCAAGTGTGTTTACTTTACAACCATTGCTTACATATAAGTATCTCAGAAAGAACAGATCCTACAACAAAGCAGTGCCTGATCCACAAACATAAAGGAGACATTACAGCGATGATATGCTCCGATGCTCCTGACGCGGTTGTCTGGCTTGACCCACCTGGATGTGACATTACGGTTGTTGCTCTGCATCAGCCGTACGACAAAAAGAAGATGATACAGTTGATTATCGATGAGTCGGTCGCATCAAGATGCAAATGTTACTCGCTGTTCAGTGACCAGTCCACCCTTGTGTACCTATGCACACACAAGCGTTCCAGGATGCAGGAGCAATTGCATGAAGCAACTACACATTCCATTACACAAATAATTGTAACTGTAGAAATGTTTATTGCGTTGGATGTTAAGTTTCCACAGCCTTGAGTAACATTTACAAACTGTATATCAGCAATGTGTAGTGCCTTCAGGTACATTTTCCACAAAACTTCATGGCGGAAGTCTGGGACGAGCATCTGAACCTTTTGTCAGTTTTCAGGAGGAAGGGACAATGTTTTGTTTTATGCAGTCACGTGCATAATTCTGGAGGATGAAAAATTACATTTCAAAAGTGGGTTTTTAATGTAATGCATAAAACACTTTGCAAGAAATGTAAGGTCATCTGTGGTTAAAAAAATGAGTGCTTCAGGCAGCAGGAACATCCGTGCTATATTATAGGGGTTGAGAGCAATAGACTTTAACAATAAACGAGGAGTAACATCATCCGGCCTCTTGAACGTAGGTGCATATGGAGGATGCGAAGACTTTCATGGCACGACGATTTAAGCAGCATGGGCATTTTGAAAACAAAGTGGCAGAAAGGCATTTGTCGGCTTAAATGAGGAAGAGTAGATTGTGATTAATTGAGGTCCTTGTGCCGAAATGGACGATGGAAGACTATCTAGACAGGCATTGGCATGGGCACCCAGAGACCTGGGACCTAGGGAAGGTGGCTGGATATCGTAAGGATAGACCAGAGGAGATCGAAATTGCTAAATGTGGCAGAGGGGATGAAGCAATGGCAATTATTGGTCTCATGATAACTTAATTGTTATTTTATTCTGAAATCTTGAGTAATTCCATTTAAATGATATGCAACATTATTTCGATACCCTTTCCTGTGATAAGTTCAATTATTCCACCATACTGTCGTGCACACGAGACAGCATGGGATGTTAATCTAATGAGAAAATTACCATGCACTTTTGTTTTATATATATGAATATTCTATGTATCAGCTTCAAATGTAAGAGACTGTTGTCTGATATATTATAACATTCACAAATATATATTTATTACAGGAAAGATGATGATCTGTAGTCGTCACTGCAGAAGTACCGATTTAAAAGAGCTTTGTGAATGCCTGAGAGGTGACGCCTCTGTGAAAGGTATGTACATTAGCCTAGAATTGCACATTATACTAATTACACATGTGTCTTTCGCATCTCTGAAACGAGTGAAAATTCCAGTTATCTCGAGTAATAATTTCATTTTTTTAAAGCAATGGTGTTACACTTATCTAAATTGGTGACCCTCAGAATGTTGTGGAAATTCCACATTCTGATGGCAAGCACTGTTGTCAAAATGTGGTACGATTTTTTGTTTTGTTTTGACCAGGTAAGACCCACTGAGCTGTATAGCTCTTTTTCAGAAGCGACCTGGCCACAAATCATAGCCCGATCAAGTGGCTTATCATGTGGACATTTATAGTAGCCAAATACTCTAAACGCGTGTTGATTCTCTATGTCGTAGGGAAAAACTGGAGAAGCCGGAGACAGGTGTTAGGGTCGGGATCGAACTCACGACTTCCTGTATACCAGGCGAGGTAGTTAACATCTTGCCACTGTTGCGCCCCAATTTTGACACTGGGGAGACGATGGGATGAGTTGATGACGCGATGGAAGTACAGCGGAAGCACGTGTGTGCAGTGCGGGAACGGCACAGCAATACTCCTTGAAGCAAACCTGACGAAACTTGAATCGGCATGCTCGTTAGACTGGCATTAGGTTGGCATTGGCCCGCATCAAGTACATTCTACTCCGGTCAAACGTCTCTTAGTCTCAAGATCTTTTCAGCAGGATCATGCAATTGGTATGTTCAGCCGTTTTGTTATTAGTTTTCTGTTGTAAAACATTGAGGACGCAGACAAAACCTGTGGTACGTTCGGGGGGGGGTGGGGGGGGGAGGGTAACACTAAAATCCTGCTATATAACGGTAATCCAGAATGTATTTTGCTACTAACTACAGGCCAGTAAAATAACCTCCGTGACCCACACAGCTTGGGAAGGCCTCTAATCCTGCAATGCATTGACAAAAAGCGCTGTACACACACCTACAGGCCACTTCGTAAGCCAGAAGGTTGATAGTTCCTTACGCATGACTAACTCTGTCTGATCCATCGAAGTCGCGTCTAAAGAGCCGCATTACGGTGTCCCCACCATGACCCGCACAGCAACGAACATCATTGCAAATCTTCCCAGGCTGTGCAGATAAAAGGATTTGTGTGTGATGATTACTAGCAGAGTAAAGGATTCACGCCTCCCTCCCTCCCTGCCTCCCTGCCTCCTCCCTCCCTCCCTCCTTCCCTCCCTCCCCTCCCTCCCCTCCCTCCCTCCCTCCCCTCCCTCCCTTTGATTCAATGAAATATCGCGTTTCACAGTTGCTATTCATTTCGCAGTATTGATTCTTGTTTATCAATGGCAGTCAATGGTTGTGCCTCTTCTAGCTTGAATGGGTCATACAAACCCATTTACATGTAGCGTTTAAGGAGTGTAAAGCATCAATTATGACGCGTGAAATTGTATGCACGTTGTGAGATTAACAATGAATATATTCTTCGATATATATGTTCACATATATAATGGTTGCAGGTTTTTTTATGATTGGAAGTGATTCTGCAGTTGAAATGCATCACTTGATTTACAATTATAATTTCCACTTGATAATATAACTGTGACGACAAACCACATTCTGATTACCCGCACCTCCGATTATCAGGGTAGGCTACGTACGGGGCCAAAGAAGTTTAACATATGTACATACATTGGCAGTAATGTTGGTTGGTAGTGCATTACCAGTTGCACTTTCTTGTAATCAGAAATGTTAGAAAGTGTAGGTCACACACTTGCTGCTCCCGTTTGCATGTCGGTGGTTGCTGCCATAGCCACCGAAGGAGGGTTTTTTTTATTACAACATTTCTGCTTGCGGTATTTTTTGCAACGAAGCTAAAAAAAAAGGTTGTTTGGGTTCCCAAATTGTGTGTTAGCGCCAGCAGGAGTCGACTGTCTCGGAGTTTAAAAGTTGCGGAAGTATCTGAACGAGTAAAACTTCGCCGATATTTCGACTGTGCGCGCGCGCGGGTTTTGTCACTTTTGTCCTTGTTGTTTTGTCTAGCTATGCTTGATGCAGGCCAAGCAAAGACCCCTGCGGAAAAAAGAAGAAAAACAGACGCCCCCGTCGTCGCAAATTCTCCCACTGCTGCGACGGACGGCACAGACGCCGGCGTTGACGCCAGTCGATATCCCGCTCGTCGCACGCTGCCTTCCGACGCAAGAGACGCGTCTTCGGGTCGCGGTGGGCCAGAAGCTGCCTACGGGAGGGATTGGCGCTGCAACGATGTCTTGGCGTTTGACCTGCTCTACAAACTCTTAGACCCGAACCCACACACGCGGATAAACGCTGCGGAAGCCCTACACCATCAGTTCTTTGTTCGGTAACGAAAGCCAACGGCGTCCTCACACTTAAGTTGTCCTGACCCGAGCTAGTGGTGAATAATTGGAAGTTCCTGGGCTGATTTTTTTTGTTATGGTCATTTTTTTTTCGTAAGGTCATTCCTGCTGGCTTCCTGCAAAGTGGTTCATATATTTTGAAACAACCCCTCAGATATAATGGCCTTTAAATTTCTATTTAAAGCTTTCGTGACTGCAGGGATTCATATTCTTGGTTCTTTCGGTAAAGTCACGTAGAAGGGAAATAATACAATAATAAAAAAATAAAAATAAATTATCATGACGTTTCGATCGCAACACAGGCAATCATCATCAGGTGTGAAAACCACAGCAGGAAAAAAACGCCACTTTTTTCAATTTTTCTCCCCAGTGGCGATGTTTTTGTTGTTGTCCCGCACCACACCCAGGTACTCGTGTGAGGCTGAGTCAATCTAGGGGAGGCCCATCGGGAATCTAAACTCGGGTGGTCAGGTTGGTAGCGCAGCGCACTAACCGCTACACTACCGCTCCCCGTGTATGTAAATGTGACACACACACACATACACGGGGAGCGGTCTTTGTTAACCCCTGATATGCAAATGGGATATTTTGCCACGATTAAATGTCACTCATGTTTATTTTTAATGATATGCACATCATGTCTGTTTACTGTTTCGGATATATATATATGCCGATAGCCTGTAAATAATTTACATTGGTTTATAAAAAAAAATGCGTTCAGTTAAAACATAGATTTTTCCACAAATCAATTACATTATGCTTTTATGCAAGGTTACAAGGAAAATACGCACAATTCATGTCCATATTTGTGACCAAAATGTAGCCATTCTCTCACCAGTGCTGCAACATTCACTCGAAGATGAAAACGCTGCAATGACAAAAAGAAATGTGAAGTCCTCCCCGATGTCTTCTGCGTAAATGTCCCAACATTTTCCGCTCCCACCGTGCGGTACAACCCCCAAAACATCGGCAGAGCTGTACAGCTAAACGAGAACATTCCTTCGCATCGCATTCGTACAAAAGAAGCAAAATGACGTGCTGCCGTATCCCTGCAGGCGCGTTGAACCTTGGCCTTAAAATGCCGTGACGTGAAATCGGGCTTCGGAAAAGCTGGTGGTGCTAATTTTGCAATTACACGAAATATAATGCGCACATTTTTTCTGGATATTAATGTTATGATTATACCAGTAGTACCCGACTTGTCCTTGGTTGCAGGCTGCAGTCGACCGCTGGGGAATCGCGTTCCACGATTGTCTTTGCCACAAATTCATTCTTCAGACTCAACGGGTTATTAGCGCCATTATAGTCTGTCATTGGTGCCGATGACGATGTCACCTTGGAATGCGTTAAATATCGCCAGATCTTGAAAGCTCAGCAGTGTTGAGCCTGGATAGTGCTTCCGTGGGAACCACGATGCATCGAATAGGTTATACTGGTAGGAACCTCCTGGTTACACCAGCCCGCAGGGGATTATTGTGTCCGTCCGTCGTGCATCCAAAAATGGGAGGGGTGGAGAGGGGAGGGTGAGGAGGGAGGGGCTAGGTGGGGAGGGGAAGGTGGGGTGGGTGGGGGGTGGGGCTGCCTGGGGGGTGGGGCTGGGTGGGGGGAGGGGCTGGTCACCCCGTGGTGCCCTTATAAAACTCAACGTTTAACCGACTCACGCCGGCTTGTGCCCGCCCTCACAGTCGGGCATATTTGCGTTGACCCTGGCCATTGACCGAGCAACCCAACGTTCCTACAAGCTCCCTCCGCAGGAATGTGTTTCATAGGTGACTACAAGGTGCTGTGATGTGTGCTAGACACCAGAGGGCAGTACAGCAAAAGCCACTGCGATGTACATTTGTTCTGATGTCTGTTTCGCCACGACGATACTGCCCATGTTTTTTTTGTCTGTTTAGCCTGAATAGTTATAATGTATACATTGAATAGACTGGCCCTCACCACAGGATAAGGACATTTCCACCACTGACTTGGCACAAGAATGAGCATCGCACAGTGTTTGATTCAGCAGAAAGATATGTTGCCCTTTAAAAGTCTTATGCCTGGGGATTTACACGGTGAAATACTCTCGATTGTAGTAATCCACAAGTGTATTATTTTTTTAGTTCTGTTTTTTTTTATTTCACGTTGTTTACAAAGCATCCGTTTTCTCTTTACCGGGGAAAAATATTTTTTCCGTACTTTTCCCCAACGCACTTTACCACGGTACAGTCAACACGAATACCCACATTTGAGCGCGGTGTGGGTCACTGTTATCCAGACGTTAGTTACAGCACTTGGAATGTCCCTTAAAAAATATGGAATAATATTTAATGTGTATCGTGGTTTCCACGAGCCAGGCCACCCATCTTAAACACACACTCAGCCTGGGACATTGCTTGCACGCATTCCACACCCACACGCGCTTACTGTTGTACCCACTATTGTACAGTTGTGCAAGAGGAAATGCCTAGGCATTAAAAAAAATGCCCTGTACTGAATGTATAAAATATAGCCGAGTGCAATGGTCACTCATGAGCCATACCACCCTCTTAATTCTGTGAGCTCGGGACGTTGCGATACAGTACTCATTCCACATGCGGACTGACAGCATGTGCCCACTAGATGTACATTTTGTTCAGGAAATGCATCAACGTAAGTTTTATAAGGGATGCATATTGCAAAGTATTTTTAATATTTTTCACACGTGCATTTGAATTGTAATGTTTTCGTGTACACTGGTGAGCGTGGTGTCCATCTCCAATAAGTCTGTTGCACTTAAGCTGTACAAACGACTGTGTTTTAGCTCGGAGTGGGGGGGGTCGTAGTATCGCACAGCTCCACCTTGGGTTTCCAATTACTGGTTTCCAATTTCAGGTACCACAGGCAAGTGGTTTCATCCACGACTGGACATGGGAGATGGGTGTTTAAGGCACCGGTCCTAGGATAGATGGGTTCTCTTCAGATGCCACATGCATTTTACACATTGGAAAGCCCAGGGTGAGGTTTGCCGTTTTTCTAAAGCTGAGCTGCCTGGCGTGCAGGGGCGCGGTGGTGGCGAGATGTTAACTACCTCGCCTGGTATGTCGTGGGTTCGATCCTGACCCTGACGCCCCCTCTATATTTCGAGTTTGCATTTCTCTCCCCGTGGTCGTGTGGATTTTTCTCCTGGCCCCCCGGGTTTTCCCTCCACATTTATAATCAACATGCATTTCGAGTACTTCGCTACTATACATTTCCACGTGATAAGCCACTTGATTGGGCTATCATTTGTGGCTAGGTCGCTTCAGAAAAAGCTATATAGCTCAGTTGGCTTTACCGGGTAAAATAAAGTTTGTAATCATATCGTCTGTTGTACAGGGATCACCAAATATTGTCCTGTTTATGTGTTAAATGTTCCAATTTTAAGTGCATTGCATTGTTTTCTGTATGCCTATTTTCTTGTTTACTGTGCGTTACATTCGTGTGCATTACTTGAATGAATAAAGTCGAAGGTAATTACGACTTTATTTTTTATCCCACATCTCTCACACTGCTTGGCCGGTTATCATCGGATCATTTGAGAGGTCCTAATTTAATCAGAATTTGACCTCCTATGTTCTGATGCTTGTGACTTATGAACCGCGACTCTCGTACATCATCACTCTTATCTGCAAGGCCGCACAGCGTCCAAGGGATGCAGTCTACATTTGATTCCTGTTTTCATCCGCGGATATCTGTGGATTCACAGATAGGCTCCGTGATGGATGAGAAACGTAATCGTCAATGTGATGTTGTGGTTGTATTGAAGTTATTGCTCTGTGGGATGCAACTTCTGTGCTTACAAATGCTTTTTTTGTCAATATTCAAACCATGTGATGGCATTACGGTTTTTAATTTGAAAGATTGCTCCTTGAATTGCGTGCCTTGGAAGATCTCTCGAATTCGGATATACAGCAACATTTACTTTCTCCAAACGAGTTTTTTTTTTATGTCCGTGTAATGACTGTTAGAATAAACATAATAACCTATAGCCCTTTTGTAATCCACAGCTGAGATGAAGACATGCCCATGCTGTGTTAGTTATGATGGAGGCTGTTTGACCGTACATCAGCAATGCTGTCAGTTATGGAGGCTGTTTGACCATACATCACCATGCTTGTTGGTATAGGTTGGTGAAGGGGGAAACCCAGGCCCAGTTGAGATCACTTGCCTATCACAGCCATTAACCAAGTTTGTAGCGCAGTGCACTAACCCTTGTACCACAATTCTCCCCTAGTACTCATATGCAAACATGTCTCTGATGAGTGTAAAATGGAAACTTTCACAATTCTCAAAAATGCAACGGAAGTGGGTTAATGTTGGGCAATTCGCATCATCCACAAACAACGACCATTTTTTAAATATATATGAGCAGTGACATGACTTGGCAGGAGGGCATTTGCCGCTTGATGCACAGTGGCCACCCAGATTATCACCGCGGGATACAATCGTCACAATCCGTGCCGTCTACTTAACAGTGGGGACGTTAAAAGATCCCCTGCCATCATTCGCAAGAGCAGGCCATTGTGTGCCATCCTCTCGAGAGTCAAAAAAATTGTCAAATTAGAAAAGTCTAACCCACAAAATTACTCAGTTGGGAGACGAAGGAGCAGACGCGTCCCGGGTCACCTTTTTGCAAATGAGACTCGTCCTGGACTCTGACTTCTCACTTTGTTAAAAATAAAATAAACCTGAACTCATAGGCATCATCCCCAACAGTTATCACCATCCAAAATAGTCATCACTCTCCATCATCATTAAAATCAGTCCGTCATTAACATTGCCAATCATTCATTTTGGCAATTTCCTTCCCCAAAATTCCTACCACAAAACCCAAACAACTCCCCAATTCTTCACCCCAGCCCCTTCTTCCACACCATAGCTCCCCCACTCTTCCTGCTTCCCAGAAATATGAAAGTTGATCACTCTTTCCACGCTCGTGTCTCGTGGTAATTTGTCATCAAGTTTAAATGGCAAGTATAGCAGCAAATTCACTCGTAAGGACGTTTCTAATTCCGTTCCGGTCAATAAATCTTAAAATGCTACCCAAAAGTTCGCGCAGATACAGTAAATAGATTAATTACACGAATTAATTGTGTTTATAAATACACGTTATTCTGTTCAGTAATTGATCCGACTTCCTATAGATAGCCAAAATTGTACAACAAATGTTTGGTACGTGTCGTGACGGGTACTGCGAGATCCGACCGTGTCCGTCCAGTGCTCGCCGAGCTGCATGGGCTTCTGTTTTGCCGAACGAATACATCACAAGATCGTACTCATTACACAAAGTGCTTGCCACAAATGAACCGCGATACCTTGCTGGTCTCGTCAAGGAGCCTAGACCGTCACGCCAACTCGGGTCATCCTCGCGGTGGCTTTTGGCTCGCCATCGAACAAAGACGGTCACTGCATGGCGCGCTTTCAGATACACTTCTGCAGCCGGCTGGAACGCTCTTCCTTCCGATATTAGGAAGCCACTGGAGCTATGCATTTCTAAATCTATATTGAAAACTCATTTCTTTAGAACTGCTCGATTGGCACGGTTGGCTACGTACGGTGCAAAAGAAGTTCAACATGCATACAGTTTAACATGTAGGCTTAGATTTCGATTTAAAGCTTTCGTGACTGCAAGGATTCATCTTCTTTGGTTCTTTCGGTAAAGTCACGTAGAATGAGAATAAAATAATAAATTGATAAAATAATAATATTCTCACGACGTTTCGGCCACAACACTGTCCTCCAGACAGTCTCGTCCCCTTCACCTGATGAAGGCCGCTTGTGTTGTGGCCGAAACGTCGTGAGAATATTATTGTGTTATTTTATCAATTTATTATTTTATTCTCATTCTACGTGACTTTACTGAAAGAACCAAAGAAGATGTAGGCTTAGTTTAACACGGGCTTCTGTGACCAATATCCATAATAAAGGTTTTTTGGGGGTTAGATCGCGTAAATATAATGCGTCGTTAAACCCGCCACCACCCGACACGGCCAATTCGTAAGGTTTGTCACGTAAACAAAATGTTCCAGTTACTACTTCAGCACACCGGTGTGTTGGAGAGTAAACCCACAACATTTACAGTTTGAGTACCCTGACGTTTCGTTGGTGATTACAGCAACCAGCTTCATCAGGCAATAGCCAGAACCGTGAAGAAAGGCCTCCTATTTCGGTTTTAATAGAGGAGGTGGGGGGGGGGATTCTTAAATACATACAGCCAGAAGTAAATAAATAAATAAAGCTTTAACGCTCCGGGTGCAAATGTGACGATCGCATTCAGATGCGCGCAGGTGGTGTGACTGCCCACGTGGTGTGACTGCAGCGCTTCGGTTGGTACGGAGAGCACAACCGCTCGCGCGTTGCTCAGATGCAGCCGAGCTGGATAGAAAGGAGAGGACGATTCACGGGGCAACCGCAAGCGATCGATGACGCACGAGGCGGTGTTACACGTGGAGACGTGACGACGATGCATCGTCGATTAATCGATTTGATGAGGATTCTA